ACACTCATGCAAGTTATCAGCGAATTATTTATTCATCCTTCAGCCCTACATGTACGTCTGGCTGGAGGAAGTACGCCAAGGAGTACACTTTTGAGAATCAACTATTGTTGCTCCTTGTTAGGTCTATTAATCAAAAAACAAATGGGTTTCATTCAGATTTATGCAGTAGTTACGGAGTACGAAAAGCTTTCAATCAAAATCATTTACATCAAATTTTGATACGGATTTCTGCCCACTCGTCAGCCAAGCGAGGTGCCGAGTTTAGTTCCCCCTCCCTGTTCGGTCAGTAAACCGGATTACAATTAATTGCGCCAACAGAGTAAAAATCTACCGTTCTAGCCAAAACTTGTCACCACGACATGAAACCAGCGTTTGTCGTCACACTATATGAAATGTTAGCTTTAAAACGGAAAGGTCAATTTACATTTAAGATGCCCACTCAATATTCACTTTCAATTAAGATTTATTTTCAAGGTTTGCATTCAAGATTTATGTAAAGTCGTACAGTTGCGAGTTATCGTGAAGTGTGAAAGACGACTTGAAGCAAGTCCTGTGGATTTCTCTCGGTTAGTCCGAGGTCCTGTTGCAGTATCCAGAAACTAATGACGGATTTCTGCGCTCCCTTAGTGAAGCGAGTGTTCCGAGCCTAGTTTTCCCAAAGATTTTCGTTCAGTTTAGTAGTCACAACACACCCAAGTACAGCAATTTTGCACTGCTTTCCACTTGGTTAGGTAATTTATTCCAAAGTTAATAATAATTTTTTCCTTCCTTGATCCATTAATGCTAAATCCTCGTGATCTATCAATTCTGAAGGTTGCAAAGATTCTACGCCACGATATTTAACCCAACGAATAATGGATACCTGTGTGGGTGTGATTCAACTGAAAACAAATGAAGACAAGTATAATACGAAATAAAACGAATCGACAATCTCTGGTGAAACTCAGAGAAGAAATAACTCGGACGCTATCAAGAACGAATCATGCGTCATATAGGTAGTGTCGGTTCGATCTGGCGGTCAACATCTTGTTCGATTGTCAGTCGATTGTCAGTAAAATATTGTCAGTCGATTGAGGAGTAAGATATTATTCTGGCAAAAATCAACAACAGTCGAACCTGTATTAAGCAACACCATATTAAGCGGTCGGTTGTCAAAGTCCCAAAATTTTTTCCCTTTGATTACAGTAAATTTCCCTCTATCAAGCGGTGGTGGTCACCCTTGACTGAGTCCCAACGGCCTGTTTGTGTTGTCCTCCACCTATATTGAACGGTCACTTACAGCAGAACCTCTCAAATAAAACTAATAATATCTCAAACAAAATTCATTCCATGTGTATTTCCCGGAGTCGATGTCTGTAGTTTGTGTTCAAATGTCCTTAACGCATCGCAGGTTATCTTTGTTCGTCTATAGCGACAAACTTCCTGCACACTTCGGACGCCCTACCACTAGGCTATAAAAGACTATCATCAAGCTAGGCCGTTGAACCAGGTCTATTGTGACAAAATTTCTGCACATAGCCAGGATAGCAATGTCGATATATAGGCAGTGATGATTTGAATGAAAGTGGTAAATTTTAAGCTACAGTAAAGGAAGATGTGTGAGTGTGTGTGTGGAAGATGTGTGAGTGTGCCCATCAATACTCGAACTTACGACCACCTGATTAGTACTTTGGACGTGCTACCACTGATGTGATTAGGCCGTTTAACTATGTTCATGGTGACAAACTTGCTGCATACTGCGAGGATAAGAATGACGATATGTTTTAACCTGATGATTCAAGAGAAGGAAGATGTTCTTCAGTAAATGACATAGGTATACTCATGGAAAGATAGGAATATCCGAGTGCTCCGCATAGTTGTCGAACGTAGGGCGCCCAACAGGACTCCAACCTATGAACTTCTAATTAGCGCTATGGACGTTCAACTTCTGAGTTAGAGTAGATTTGTGGCAAGTTAAACCGATTAGCTGACAAACTTCCTGTGTACCGCTTAGATAGGAAAGTCGTTATGTGACGCTAACATGTACTAATAAATAAGAAGACTACTCGAAGAAAATTTTACTGCCCCCCGTCAAGAACTTCTTTGTTGTTCAGTGAGTGATACACAGCTCAGCTAAAATTGGTTGGCTATACAACGGTTGGCGGTTAAAAATCTAATAATTTGATATTTCAAGATTACTTCGAGTAATATTTTGGCTCTTTTACCGTTTTAAGTCTTTAATCGAACCTCTAATACCGGTTCGTGTAAAAAGTTGTACAGGATCATCCGATTGGTGCACCTGACCCTAATCCAAATGCACTTAAATGTGATTTTGTTCCCATTAAGAGAGCGGTTTTAATAAAAGAGACTATGGATGAAACGTAATTTTTTTTCCAGAGGTTATTAGTTTTGATGTATTGTCCTGTATTTTGCAGGTAAACGGTAGTTTAACAAGACAAAAGAAACCAAACAACGGGAAACTGCTAAAACAGAGTGCGAAGGAATCAAAGGCATTTTTGAACCAGCAGTGCCCTTGGTAGTGCGCGGTAGGTCGTTTACCTCGCAGAAACGAAAAACGCTATCTGCATGTCGCGCACCCAATAGCGAGAGATAACCATGCATTAATGTTCACAAGATGTAACTATGTGTAAATATGCACGCCAGAAAAACTCCATTAATTATGAAACAGGATACTTTTAACCCTTCTTGATAATTATCAGTTATTGACAGCTAACTCCTTATCAATCCTAGGCGATCCGCCAAAGTGTCTGAGGTCGCGCTGTCGGTACGGTGTGAAATAGCTTTCATATATGCTTTGATTTTTGGAAATTCTTAGTCTGCATTTTATTTAGTCAGCGTTTTATGTTTAACGATCAGTCTGGCTCTTATCACGGCAAATCTCTTTATGCTCAGCTAGACACGATACCATAATCCCCGTAAATTGAAAAAGTTTTCACTCGTAAATTATAATAAAATTATCTGAGTTCCAGCATTTCCGAGGTCTAATTGCTTTTGTGCTGATAAATATTGCAATTATCAGTTCTTGTAAAGTAACAATGCATCAGCATTGAGAGAGTAATTAAGAAAATAATGCAGTCAAGATAATGATGTAGTCTATTAAAAGCATGTCATAGGACATTTCGCTAATGATGATGACATTTAGTTGCCTTGGTTACATTATCTAATTATGTTTATTGCTGTTTGCTCTTAAAAGTGTTCCATGCCGAGGACAGGTAGGGTAGCTTTAAGACTCAACATTACACAGCGTGAAATGTTCCGGATGTCAGAATGATCAATGGTTAGGTCAGGACCGTGGGGTAATCCCTTATGTTATTAGTAATCTTCGCTCAAATTTGATTTTCACTCAAACTCCTCGGTCAGTTACAACAGGTTTCTTTGATTTCAATAATTTTGCAGTTGAGTGCGAAGAACGGTAGCAAAATTATGATCAAAATGGGCGGGGTCAGTGCGATGACGCTACAGGTGAAACAAAAGGATTATTGGCTCGAAAAGTTGAAGAGAAAGTCTAAGCCGACAGCTATCGGTGAATATCATCTGTACGGTGATCTTTGTACTGATAACATAGATGATATATGATAATGATGATGATGATGATACGAACATCGTTTGGTAGACAGGGGTTGATAGAATCACAAAACTACTTGGGATGTACAGAAAAAGTTATTTAATCAAACTGGGACTAACATTTGCTAATGAGGCAACTTGTTGCCTGCGATGGGAAGATGGGAAGATATGAAGAAAGAGGAGAAAGAAATGAGAATGAAGACGATGAAACCGCAGAAAAAGACTCGAAAAAAAGTACTTACCAATGACTAATAAAGTCACAACTTTTACAATATTGTTTCGTGTTTTTGTGGAAATTAAAATGATTTTTTAGCTAATTGAGAATCAGTATCGAGACCATGCAATACTTCAAGGAGTACTGCAAGCTCACCGACTTGAATAATTGTCGCTGTGTAAGGTTTAGTGTACCTTAAAATCCTGTAATCAGATCAATTTCGTGATTACTTCTTCCGCGTCTCTTGTTAAGGTTGGGCACATTGGAAATATTAGCGAGTAACATCTGTTACAGCTGTTTTCTTTCATCACTTAATAATTACGGGTTCAGGAATCACGACCACTCTTGACCACTAATACTATTTGAGATCAGTTTTTCTTTCCTTTTCCGATCAGGAGCCAACGAGAATATCACATGTCAAGTCTGATGGCGCCTGGGTGACCAACCCCAAATTAAGAACCGCGAACGTCCTATGGTCGAAAACACAGATAAAATTGAATCTGTTTGTGACAGAAGAAGGCGATTTATGTACTCTAACATTTCTTAGACTGACAAGTTTCACCAATCTATTACCCTTGGCTGACGTTTTTTATGTCATCTGTTTTGTTTTCCGCATCTCGTTCTATGTATTCACCTTAAAATGAGGACTCAAAAAGTGTAACCGAGGAATGTAAGAGCTGAGTTAGAGTCCAAGAATGCAGTTCATGATATGCAACTTCTAACGCTTATTGCAATTTTAATTCTCCGCCCTTTGTTATCGAGCCACCCTCTCTTAATTTTCTTTAGTATTGTTGAATACCGTGACACTGAATGCCTTTTGAGGGAAGTTTGATTTTTAAAGGTCGTTTTGCGTGCAGAAATAGCTTTTCGTCTATGAATTTGTAATTTGTAAGTACGGCATATCACAGGACTTTGTTTCCGTAGCTGTGTAATACGCGACATGTAATTGTCAACAACAGCGACGCCCTAAGAGGTACAAATTCAATAACGAAGGATAATCCTTGAAGCATGCCATGATATAATGAAAGCTCTTGAACATAAACGCTTGTGGGCCGTAGTATTCTGCGATTCAAGTAAGAAATAGTCAGTTACTCCCTGTTTTGTAATAGAACGCATATTATAGTCCAGTTCCAAGAGAGTGATGTATTTAATCTAATCGGCTCAACTGTGATATTTTTGTAAATTTAGACCGCGAGAAATAATAGCTCAGTTAATCGCATAATCCTTCCGCTCAATTCCCGCAGAAGGACTTCAATTAAAGCCAGGTGACTCAACCGTTTTTTGCTCCTAATTCCGAGAACGGATGGCGCTATCAGTTGTTCTGCACGAAGAGCGCCATTTTAGGTTGCACCTTTTTCGTTTGGCTCAATGCTGCTTGACCGAGCCCACGATTACTTTGTTTGGTTACTTTATGACTCACATCGGCAAGTTGATACGGCAATGATAAAGTCTTAAAGAAGATCTCATTTTCAGTCGCCTATACCTATTATTTCAGAAGATAGTTGTCCGTACTGCCTTCCGCAACAAGGAGTTTACAAGAAGCATTTAGTTACCAAAAATTTCATCGCATCCACATCAATGCTTAAACTTAAATTACCTTATTTATTTGCAACCCTCTGGAGTTAAATTTACAAACATATAGCATAAAAACGTACGAAGCTCACTCTAGGACTGAATTAACCAATATGTGTGTCTTTCCAAATGAGTACATACGTAATATCGAAGCCAATATTTGCAGTGTTTTTAACGCAACCGTATCAGGCGTTCGTTTATAAATCATTTCGGGAAAGGAAATTAAGAAAAAAAGTCTTATTTCGTTCATTATTGAAATTTTGGACGATCTGTATCAATACTTAGCTTTTCCTATAATGCTTTGTGGCAGGTATTTTACATTTTAGTATAGCTTCACAAATATCTCGTTGATATGCTTGCCAGAACAGGCTGATCTTGCTCTGTACTCTTCAGGTCAAAGTACAATGCTTGAAAATCACAGAATTTCCCTTACGTTCTGGTAAAGAACCGGAAAGTTCAAGATATAACAATTTGGATAACAGTTCGAGTGAGGAGCCATCTAACTTTAGAGCCACGAGGTCCAAGAAGGGCTTTTAGCTTAGCATGGCTAAATCAATTAACACCAGTTTGATAGAGTTCAAGTGAAATACCTGTCTGCCACCACACAACTTGGTTTATTACACTATGAACATATCCCGTTGAAACAAGTCTGTGAAAGCACGAGAACTTGCCGCAGGCGCTGACAATTCGTCATTATAGGAACTCGTTCCCGACAAATTTTGCTGACAGTTCTTGTTCGTTTGAGATACTGTTGTGACCACTTGATCCTTTATTTCCTTTCTCCATTTTGTTCTTCTATTTTGGAACCACGTTTTCACTTGTGTTTCTGTAAGACCCAGCTCTGTAGAGAGCTCTGCACGCTTGGTTTCTGTGATGTAACGATGCTTTGCAAACTCCTTTTCCATCGTTTGTACTTGGTTTTGGGAAAATAGTGGACGCTGCTTCTTCTTTCTAGAGAACCTTCTGCGTCTAGGAAGATTTAAATATTGGGGAAAACCTGCCAAAGAAATAGTGCAAAGTTCCATTTATATATTTTTTAAACTGATTAATGTGAGTAGCAAGGGGAAAAATGAAAGAACTCAAAAGAAGGAACTTTTAAGAGAGGGCTGAATGTTGTAATTCCCAAAACTATCTATATTTAATTAGACCAAATGTAACGAGACTTTCAACTTCACTAATTTTTCAGTTGGGAGAAACATCATAGACTATTTGAGAGCTCAATGAAAACCGAATTAAATCCCAAAATTTAATTTAGTCTGTTACTATAGTTCAGACACTTCTTAAAAATATGTTTACATTTTGCATTGGAGGTTACATCCTTGGCAGTCTTCGTGTGTTAATCTCTTTTCTTTTCCGTTCTCTATTTGCGATAAAATTATCAAGTTTCTTAACTCGGCTCCGAAATTGGAAACATTTATTAAACAAAGGTTTTCCCATTTTAAAGAAATCTGTTCGTCACTACTTTCTTAAAGCCTATTGCATTCACCACAAAGATTAATCTTAGTATTTTGACAGGGCCTTGGCTATGGTCTAGATTTATTTAGTTGTTTGAACATAAACTCGTAGAGAAGGTGCCTGTTGTAAACAAGTTAGTTCTGTTTCAATGTTCAGCGCTAATGCTGATGCTACAAGAGTTCGGTGAATGGAACGTACTTATTTTTCAGGATGTATTACAAAACTTAGAAGGAAAGGTTGTCAAATACTTCTGTGTGCTTGGCGCCGGATTTAGTCAACTCAGAATATTGCGAGTGTACACTCTCATCATAATTTGCAACCACGCTATAGCATAATGTGCCGTAGATCCACTGTACAAAGGTGTGCTCTATGCCTAAGTTCAAATACAACCACAACACGATTGGGTTCGAGTATCGACGGTTTCAACACCTTGGAATTTTGACATGCAATTATTCAAACGTGAGAACTTGCCAAACTGTGAGCAAACCGCTCTGATGGCCACTCACTCGGAGGTCAATCGTAAGAGGAAACCAGCTTCGCACGGGTAAATTTTGCGCTCAAATCACAATGCATGGACAAGATAAATTTGCTTTTGTAAGCGGTATGAAAGAAAAAAAATCAAAGGATTTGTCTTTCTATCCTAAAAGAGTGACAGTTGTTGATACTCTTTGGAGAATAATTCCTGATCAAGTAGCTATTGTTTCATTTTTGTCGATTCACTTGAAGAATCAAGAATCTTTGGCCAAGATGTTTTCATCTAAAAACAATTGTTGCTTAACATTGCTTTCATCGAAGTAAAAGACTGAAGTGTCGGTATCCTATCCCTCAACTGGTAAGTTAACCTTGCACTTATCAACCATTAGTAGAGAATGCAAGCTGCGGAAAGAACTGTCGCAAAATCAAACCAAAAATTTACACGGCTCATTTCTTGTTTGCTTGCTTCTGTTTATAACAACAAATTTCCAGGGAAGGGAAACTCATTACAGCCTGTAATTCAGTTCGTGTTTGTGAGAAAATTATTCAAGTTAATGCGAAGCAGTAACATTGTACTTACCATTGAAATATTCATAACTTTGCAGAAAACTTGTGTTGCAAATCCACGCAGGATAGTTGGCTTGTGCAGCGGGATCTACTGGCCAATTCAAACTGATGCCACCCAGTGGAGAGACCAGACCAGCATGAGGATACCTCATTAATGGCGGTGGATTCAGGGCATGAGTGATTGGAGTCACCATGGGTCTCAAAAGGGAAACTTTAGAATCTTCTATTTCTTCTCTTGATACTCTCGGGAACGCAGGTAAGGCTCTTTCATCTTGGAGGTTAAGAATGTTCTTTATGGAAAACGAACTTCTTCTCGGGGCCTGAAAATAGACATCTCTGGTTGTCAAGTCCATATCGCAGCTGCCAAAACAAGGGTGACTTGGCGGGCAGTCCGAGATAATATGCACCCCGACCTAATGTACTCCTTCTAAATATGTTGCAGACTTGACGCCTGCGTACTAACGCTTAATTAATGATATCAATCAGTATCAGGAAAACTTAATTGTGTAGAGCACCAAGAGAATCTTGTCATCTTCTTTTTAAACTGGTTTGAGTGATGACTTAAAGCTGTTCAGAGAATTTCAAATGATTGAAGTCAACAAATCAACTCACAGTTTTTATATCCTTTTCGAAAACTGCTGACCATTCAGATAAATCAAAGCTGGAAGCGTCTGTCCCCGTTTGCTTCCGGTTATCGTAATTTCCGGTAGGAAGAGGCTGGATGCAAAATCTCTATAATCTAATATAACGACCGGAAGTAGCGAATAAATAAACATCTCTTTAGCGCTTGTAAAAAAATTCACACGTACACCTGAGAGAGCTGATTCATTTGGCAGCTAATATCCAAATTATTCATAACAAGTTGAGAAGAATCGATTCATCTTTCGCTGCACTCAATTGAAACTAAAATGCTGCAGCATAATGGTGTGCGATCGCATTAATTCGACCTTAATTGGTCATATTTTAAAACGACACGTGAGGATTTCCTTAAGTCTGATTTTTCGTCAACACACCAAGTACTATAATACGGTTACTTCCGGTCAAATAGTTTCTGTAAACTGACGAGGCACGAAAAGCATATTTCCTCAAATTAGGAAAAAATATCTTATTTTGATGAATCTCTCTGCTTCTTTAAAGTCTCAAGTTCATGCTGAGTTCTGGTGGCCCACTATATAACCAACCCAGTGAATGGAATATAAACCACACTTTGATACCTAGACAAGCCTATCGTGCAGTCGAGACAGACAGTGCGCAAGAGACAGGCTGGACTGCCGATGAGGAACACAAGCAAGGAAGGCTTATAAATCTTCACTGAATTACGTCAATTGAACAAATCCAGCTCCAGCACAAAAATGTTGTTTGCGTTTAGCGGTTTCTTTTATCTTGGTTCGACATAAAGACCTATTTTATTCATAAGAGACCTTTAATCGCTCTCGATTTTACGATCATGGATTGTCAGTTGAAGCTAAAATTAAAAAAAAAAAAAAGATAGTAAAAAAGTTCAGAATAAACAGCAGACAAGAAGTTTCCCCACATTGTTACAGTGACTTTTCTATCCACATTTTTAATGTCTTTCCTCCTCACAGAGTCACGCCTTTCTTTCCTCGGTAAGCGGTAATTACGAGCTTATTTTTAGAACTGCTGACGTCCTTTGAAAACCACATATTGTGAAAGAAGGTGGAGAAAGGCGGCAAAGGGAGGGTCTTAAGGGAGGGCCTTGGGAGGAATTTTGAAGAGCACACCACTAAATAGATTAAGGTCTCATCCCTAGGACAGCTTCATGAAAAGTTCTGTCCATGAGCACCAACAGATGCATTTCCAGATATGTAAGCTATTGCTAGAATTTTCAACCGAGCTTACAACAGGAGGAGGAAGGGGTTCCTGATTACTTTAATATGAAACATTGAGCGAGCATGTTATTCTAAATCGACCTTTCCGACTCATTATCCTTCATATTTTTCCGTTTTTGTTATTTGAAGCGATTTCTGGATGACGAAGAAAATGACCTGATATCCTGGATTCAGCCTCCCAGACAAAAAGTCTTTGAAATGTAAAAAAATAAAAGAAAAAATATAGAATCGAGGAAGCAGATACTCCACATAAAATTAACGCACAAACGTTTTGATGCGATTGATCTGTGTTTGATTTGGGAAGGCTGAGAAACCTCCGCCAACTGGCGCGACTGTTGCCTTTCTAAGTTTATCGAAGTGGTTAACAATGGCGGATGGCCCAACATTAGTGTAAGGACACAATCTGAAAGAAAGCTTACCCAGTGGAGTGCTGAGACAAGGAATGAAATCGTTGAAGGTGAACGGTCAGCGGCTTTACAAGCCAGTTTCGTTAGTAGTCAACTGATACTGTGACAAAGTACGACAAACTTGTTTCCCAAGGTCAATCAAACAAATGTTGATTGATAGGTTTGAAATGCAATCGCCCAGTTTGTTTTACTCCCGACGTGGTCAAGTATCTTGAGTGTGAACCTCTCATAGATTTAACTATCTTGTAGTTAGCCCGTTGCAGGCTCTTAGTCAGCGGAATGATCGAGCGAGCAATTCAAGCAAAATCGGTATTCGTATTTGATAGGAAGACGGTTGCCTGACCCTTTCCCGTGTTTTACTCGCCGGCTCTTTCCCACGTCTTAAATGACCGAGAGCCTGGGTAAGGCTGACATAAAATCCACCGTTGAAGCTTATGTGCCTCAAAATAAGATTGACGATTGATTCTCTTTAATATGAAGTGGAGGGTGGAGAGGCTAATAGAGAAGCCTGCAAAAAAGAAATTATGCTACCACATAATATGCTTTTAAATACAAATACACCTTCTAAATTCTATTTGTGATGTGGTTCTGTAAAGCTTGAAGCAATTGATTAAAACTGTTATAAGACCCATAACTGTACGATGATTAAGTTCACTCTTTGTCCTGTGGACTAACTTTGTCAATCATTAGACGTCTGAGAGATCCATCATAGCGAGAAACAACGCCCTTTTCAATCACATTGTTAAGAATAGAAAGGTCCAGATGAAGAATTCACCAGGAATCGCAGTGGCGTAGATTTTCTCTCGTTTTACTGTTCTGGAATCTTCTGAAATTTTCTTTCAGATTACTTCGTGATCTTAGGAAAAAGTCTACGTTGAAACTCCTCATGTGCGATAAGAAAGAAATACTAGTGGGATCCGCGGTGTAAATACACACCTTTGATTAAAAAGACTTGCATTGGTGTTCAAATAAATAGTCATTAAGGCTTAGGCTAAGTAGTGAGGGAGTCTCCACGTCGCTCTGCACCCACGGTATTTGTCATGTCTAAACTTTGAATACTTGCTTACATCTATCAGTATTGGTTTTATCTACAAGACAAGTTTCACAGTTAAACTTTTTAAATCACTCATCTCAAATTATTGAAAGAAGAAATTTCTGGGACGCTAATTAAACGTATTTGTTCTCTGTAATTTAGCGCTGTCGGTCCTTTGATGCTTTCATGATCTTTTTATCAAGTTATAACATGAGAAGACTCCTTGCAATACCTTTTACCGGTTACCTAAACTTTCAGACACCTGGATTTAATTCAGCTTTTACTTTGTTTTCAGACGAAATAAAACGACGATCGCAACTTTCGCTTTTTAAGGAGCGAGTCAGAATTGTCCTGTAAAACCAAGTTAGTTCACTAGCAAATGTCTTGCTGGCAATAATATCATGAGATATTATTCAACTGCTATATGTCAGATATGTAGCAGTTGAAAGCTATGCATTTGTAGCAAACAACGACTCCTTCAAGGAAATCATCTTAAATTCTCCGAGAGGTATTGGAGATTTCTTGTTCACCGCAGGCCTTTCCGGCCTCAAATGTCCATATATTTAATTAATTATAGTCCAATAGAGGATGACGATATGCTTTACTTGCACCATATCTGTAGCTCAAGCATTTATTGTCGCTTGAAAGATCGGTCTTACTTCGTTTCCCTTTCTCCAGAGGGAATGGGGGATTTGAATTAACTCGCACAATTCAAGGGGGAGTTTCTTCAGCTCTTAACGCCAAAAAAATCACTCTGCACCTATATTTTGTTGACCGTGATCGCCAGTAGCACCTCGTACATATTTGTGGCTAAAATAAACTGATATTTTTAGCAGCTCGTCGCTTTAAATCTTTATTCAAAGGATCAAATTTGCGCGATTTTGTATGCCCGGGCTTAAAAACGCATTCCTTTGTCGTGCAGTTGAGGCGAGTAATAGCACATATTTCTCAGTATTTTGTTGCATCAAAATTAAAAGAAACAAAACGATAACAAACTCCAAGGAATTTGTTACCGCACCCTGCATGATTTCCGGTCATCACCAAAATAAATCTTGTCAACCACACCAGTCTTAATCTTAAGCAGATTTCCATCCAGTATCATATGATGCAGAAAAGATCTTGTAATCAGTGAAACTTGCACCTTTTTGTGTCTTAAAAAAGCCCATGGAATCTGTCCTAGTTTGGGGGATTTTGGTTATTTCCTTTTTCAAGTAACGGAAACCATTCCCATAAAGAACGAAGAAAACTTCCCGTCTAGTGTTTATTGAAGACACAGCAATTTATCACTGAAAGCTACTTGGTCTTATAACCTTTTCCTGTTTGTAAAACCGGTCACGGAACACAGTATGAGAGGGCTGCATCAAAAGTCTCATTGTTGTCTCAAATATATGCAACATAAGCCGTCGGGCCTTTCATTCTAAAAACGCAAATTCATGCCTTTTGCTGATGAAGGAGGAGAGGGAATGATATAAGTCTAGCGCAAGATAAGGCCCAACTTTCTAACTGGATGTGCGAGCCATCGAGTTTGGATTCTAGCTCGAGTTCGAGTTGGACTTCGAGTTTGACTTGTTTTAAGCCCAAAAAAAATTACCCCTTAGAAGCGAAGAAATGACTATTTTACCCCGACGAGGGTGTTACGAAACCTCAGACCTTGAAAACTCAAAGATGAGACCCCGAAAAACCTCTGTTAGTCTGTATATGGGCAAACCCCCAAAGTGGACATTTTCTAATTGTTCACACCCAATGACAAATTGTGCCACTTTTTGTTGAAAACTTATATCCTTACTCTTTATGCTTTAACCTTGTAAAAAAAATAATTAATTCTAATGATTAAAAAATCCTAATGCTACTTCGAATCCGCTTGACCATTAGTATATTTGAGCTCATAACGCAGCATTATAAAGCGTTACAAAGGAGATAACCCAACGCCCCAGTCCTCACTTACGTTCTATGCCAACTTTAAGTTTTTGGCACCACAGTTAAATTCGCACCGCGCCAACAGGCATTGCCTGCGTAATTTAGACTTCACTCGTTGTGGCCTTTGTTTTCCTTCAACAATGATAGGCCCTGTTTATATATCTGCTTTTCTATGGACAACGATAGCTATCCCTTCATTGCCTACATCAAATTTATCAGTGTAATATGGGTAAATAGATTCAAACCATCTGCATAAAACTCGAAACGGAACTCGAAATTCAACACGAAATTCATCTTGAAGTTCAACTCCAAGTCACACTCGAAGTCTAACTCGAAGACTTAGTCCATCCCTGAAGTTGCTAGCGTCTTCCGCTTTACATAAGCAGTATAACTGTTTTTCTTTTCTCTATCTTTTCTCCACTAAAGATAAAGCGCGCGCTGTTTTCTCGGTCAATCGATGGTCCATTGAAATCTTGGCGAACGTCAAAGTTTGATTTTGTTTTAAGCCGGTGGAAATCGAAGACATCCCTTGATCTGCGACCGCTTCCCCCCCGACCCAGAGATTTGCTCGTTTGCCCGCCCGATTAACTGCCATAAAGAAACTGCTTGCCTGAAGGAATCCATGTGGAAGATTTCGGAGTACAGATCGTGTCCTCAAATTCTTGAAATCGCTTTCTCAACGAAACCTCTTTGAAGCATGCTTTATAGTACTGTTCGCAAATGGAAATGTTCTCCACTAAAAGCCGTCCTCTATTTAGTAACACAGCGATATTAGTCCTATGTCCGAATGCTAATAACGCGCTTTACAATTCAATAGCTTTTCATCTTATTCCTTGTCAGTAACAGGCAATGAAGCAGCCATGAGTCTTACCAATGTTGACTTTGCTGAAACAAATATTCTCGATACTTATCGAGCTTTGATTGGTTATATCAACAAATTTTGGACAAACAAGACTAACTGCCATATATTAAAATCAATTCTATACACATGGTTGTCATTGTTTGTATACGTTTAGGTAGCGGAATATATAATAAAAAGCCAGGAAAATGTCTAAATTTGATTTTATGAAGATTAAGTAAGACCAGTAAATGTGATTTTAATAAGGTTTAAGCATGATAAAAGATCATTCGATGATATGGAGAAAGGTTTTTTCCGCTATAACGTGGAGCAGTAAAAGTAACTTGCTAGACCTTTTCACAGTCCAGAGACGTATGTATCATCTACTTTTATTTTCCATCGGTAAAAACAGATGACTTATCCCTGTCGCAGTGAACAGGCATTTTTTCTTTTCTAATGCGACTTTAACACCCCTTGGAGAGTGTGAACGGAACATTTGATTGGCCCGGCCCGTTCATCTCAATAATGTAAAACTCATGCTCTTTGTGTCTGGCCAATGAGCGCATCTTCATAGTGGGGGAAGGGAATGATAATGAGCGCAGGATTGCGCCCATGTTTTCCATCAACGAAAACTTAGATCATGACGTTCGTGGAATGTACTATGAAATGGCGTTATGAAATCTCTCATTTAGTAAAACGTATTTTCAAATAAAAGTTTTTAAATCAGGAATTTGACATAATCTCGTACCTTGGTAAATCCTCTTGGTGAATTTTCGCAGCAACTGCTCATCTTGGGGCTCGTTCTTCATGTAATTTGCGTATTTTGCCCACTTGACAAAACTCGCCCTACGGGCTGATGCAATTCTGTTGTCTGAAAAGTGTACTCGTGCTTATTAACACCAAATTGCACATGAAATCATGTTTTAACCTATACTCATTACAGAGCCCTCTTCATTTTTGGGGAATTTAACAAACTCAAACACAATTCAAAATAGCAATAACTTTTTCCATACAAGCCTCAAAAGAGCTTGAGCTGATCTTTATAGGTAAATACTGAAAATTTAAAATCTGTGTTGGCGACCACGCACAAACACCGTCAAACACAGATTATGAAGAACATACCTCACATTGATTCAGAAGTAATTCATACGGTCCAAGAATTCAAGCAAGGCGAATAGCTATGTTTTGCTGGTTTTCGGGTCTTCGTTTTCGGGCAAAAATAACAAAACCGTAACAAGATCATTTAAGTTGAGAAAATAAAGGGGTCTTGGTTACGACCCCTAAACTAGCCCCAGTCAGTTATTCATGTGTAATGTCGTGGGTAAGCCAAAACGTTAGAAGTCTGGGTACGGGAAACTCTGAACACGGAGATGCCCAAATCACGGAGATACTACTGTCACCTGTGAACCGGTAGGGATAGAGGGAACGAGGTTATTCTTAAAACGAATTCAATTTGTATGATAAAGCAAAATGATGGTTTCGCGATGGTTTTTCACACGGCGGTCATATTTGCTGCCTTGACAGGATTTATCGAAGTATTTTGCAGGGGCTCTTCAACATCAGGTTAGCTTTTCTACCAAACTTTCCAATCTATCACTCGATTTTCGCTCGGCTAGAGCCGTGAGCATTTGTGGTAATGAACGGTAAAACCGTCGAATTAGAAATTCGGAATCCGCACTTCGACTGTCTACCATTGAGCCACAGATACAGAGATCAGGCTCATGGTGAGCTTCGCCATTCCTAGGTTCATATGTCATCAATATCTACGTCAAGTAGATCGGCCTGCGTCGTGACTTACTTAGGTCGTGCTTCCATTGTGATCAACTATTTTATTTTGGTTGGGTTGGTTGATTTTTCCGCGTATTATTGGGAAAAAATATTTTAGTTTGATGAGGATTAGTAACTTTTTCAACCGTGAAAAGTGGTTGTACATGTAGCAGTCGTCTTCAAAGGCAATTTTATTGGATTTTATCTTATCCTATACTACCCCTCACAGCAAACAATGCAGAAACAGAGCTTGCAATTTCAGCCCCTTGGCATAACATCTGTTCTGAACTTTGAAATCAGAATTACATTAAATGTACTTAAGAGGCTCCTTGATTTGGTTTTAAAACCTTGAAGGCAATTACATTCATTTCTTGGTTACTTTGTAACACAAGCATTTTAGACTGCAGCAGTTTTATATAATTGATTGGTGTTATTGGTGTGTGTTTGGAGGACAAAGAGCATGAGTGACTGTGTTAGGACTTGTGTTATATTTTTCCTCCTCCTCCTTTCCCATATGACTTTCCCTTTGCTTTCTCCTCATGCATGCCTTCCACTTCCCCCTCTTGCTTAAAAAATGAAAAACAATTATTTGCACTCTACAGGCTATTCACCGGAAGACTTAAACTCTCTCCACCTCAAGTGATTGCACTGACCAAAAATTTTCATGGGTTGTCACAGTATATTTCCTTAAAACAAATGAGAAATGCAAGCTTTCCCTGGCCTTCTCCTTTGGAGTTGTTGATAGGCATTGTTGTTGAAAGCTGACCAATACTAAGATCTCTCAGTGTATTCATCTAAAAAATTTGAGAACATCCTATAACATGAAAAAATTATAATGGATATGAGAAAATATGTCAGATGAAACTGATAAATGACCAAAAGAGAGAAATAAATTGCGAAAGACAAAATTGAAATAAACTGGCATCAGCCCCAAATGTGCAAGAAGGGAAGGCTTGGTAGTTGTTTGCACCTAAATTAATAATGTTAAGATTCATAAGTTTTCTTCTGGTGAGTGAAGATCAATTGCCACTGTTTAATTTAGTTGTTGTTCTTGTTGTATTATGGTCAGTAAAATCATGGGAGAGGGGAACTGGGTAGAGGCTTGTTGTACCCCCTAAGAAAATAAAGATGGAAGTGTTAGAACTTTTTACTCAACCAGCAAAATATAGTAGTGCAAACAGCTCATGAAAATAGTTTCTTTTATTTCATGATTTGAGTTATTATATCAAACGTATACTTGTGCAAAATGCTTTGTTATTGATTATATGGCTCAAAATTTTTTGTCATAACTAGTTTGGTCTACTTTCACTCTGATCTTGAATATGAGGAAAATATTCATATAAGAGGAAAGCATTTTTTCTCAGGCTGTCAGTTATTGTGCCTTAAACAAGAAGGTATCACACTTGTAGTAAAGTGAAAGAAAAATGTAAAGAAAACAAATACCCAGAAAATAAAGACAAGCAACAACATCCCAAGAAATTGAAATGAAGATCATAAAAGCACAAACAAAAGCTCCAAAAAACTAGGTACAGTGTACTTAGAAATTTACAGTATGTGTAAAAATACATTTTAATTTTTATCAAATAAACAATAATTGTTTTATGGCAGTTTAAAAATTACATGTCTCTCATGGACTGGCTCGCAGAAACCACACAAGTTATTGTAACATGCAATCACCTATAATGTCTAAACATCATGTAAACTGGGTATGGTACCATAAACATGGTCAAATGATTTGTTTGTATTAAATAAATATATTTTTTTCAGCAGCTCAGGTTGCCCTTTTATATTGTGTTTTGTTCAACTAGATTAAGACTTGGACTTAGTGACTCTCAGCAGTTGTTCATTTACTATAAGTAAGCAGGATTAATGCAGAAGATGTTGTTGTTCTTAGCTGTATTTATCAGGGAACAAAGCCAGCTGTGAAATGTATTCTGGAGCAGGCCTGCCAGCTGCTAGGACACCACCATCAAGTCCATGTGCATCAAAATTTATGTACCATCCTCCACCACTCCCATGTCCTCCAAAAGAGCCTTCCCTAGCCCCTTTATCATCCTTTTCAAATGAATGCAAAACTGATTTTCCTTCAGTATTTCCCCCCCCTTCAACTCAAACAAATGACTTGAATCCAAACTTTTCTCCACTTACATATACTGTACCAGGTGTTAGTGTATCTCCTTCAGATTATTCTTGTACCCCCTTTTCACCTTTCCCTTTATCACCTCCCCCTCCTCCAGCACCACCAGGGAAATCATTCTGTCCTGGAGGATTTCCCTCTCCACCTCCGCCTCCTCCCCCACCTCCTCTCCCTCCCCCTAAACCTTCCCTAGCACTTCAAGGAGTATCTACCTCTGCTTGTCCCCCTCCCATTGCCCCTGCCGCTGTTCCTCCTCCTCCTCCTCCCCCTCCTCCTGGAATTAATCCTTCACTGCCAGGTACTTCTGGAGCAAGAAAAGGTTCAACCATAAGAAAGAAACCTGTCACACCAGGTATGCAAGAGACATTTAGGGCCAGTTATTCACACAAGGTCTGACCGAAAGCATTGTTTTACGTAATCAGTGTGCCTCCGGCTTTCTCTAGTGAGGGTTAATGTGACATGAATAAATGTCCTTCCACAATTAGCTTTCAGCTCACATGACACTGTTTACAGAAATAGATGTTCAGATGAAAGGGCCAGCTAAATTGAGGATTGTTTAGGATGCAGTTTTGTTGAACAATGGCTAAACTCCTAAATGGCCCTTAATCTTTTTATTTCATTATTGTGGCAAGAAATCTCATTCAATTTAATCACTGGTTGCTGTATGGATCTGCACAGACATGTTTAATAAAAACAATCAATAGAGAAACGAAACAAATTGATTCAGTTGTAATGTATAATTATTTTTGGTAGTGTTTGCACATTTCACCAGTTGCCAATTAGCTTCTTAATTAAGGATTGAGTTTTAAAAGGAGCTATAAAAAATTTTTGTTCATTAGGTTTAAAAATCAATGCCAGTCCTTTCTGTATAGCCTGTCTTTTTTCATTCTTGGTACAAATTCATTTCATGCTAAAGATCCTGATGGTTCAGATTGTCACTATGTATACATTAAGTCATTTGAAAGATCTAAGCTATGGACATTTTGGGGTGTGAGACTTGAAAATGTGAGGTGCTGAGGCTATACAGTACAACCTAGAAATTACATCTCATGTAGTCTCAGTGTTTCAAAGTCTGTTCATGGCTTCCTGATTTTTAAGTTCAACTCATCCTTGAATTGTCACATGTAGATTAAATGATATGACAATTATAGTAATTCCTCTTTTTTTCTGTTGATGCAGTATCCCCCATGAAACCTCTTTTTTGGAAGAGAATACAACTCAATCAGCTACCTGTCAGACTGGAGACTGAGGCCAGTGAAACAGTTTGGGCAACACTCGAGGAACCAACAATTAATGTCAGTCGCCTTGTTGAAACATTTGCCAAGGTGGAGAGAAAGACAGAGGGAAAACTTTTATCCTCTAGATCGATGCACAAAATAAAACAGCAAGTTATCCACTTATTGGACAACAAGAGATCGCAATCTGTGGGAATCTTTCTGAGCAGTCTTCATGTTAATATGGATGAGATAAGAGATGCTCTGTACAATGTGAACACCTCCATTGTGGATCAGGAAAGCCTCAGCTCACTGTATGAAATTGTAGGTATCTAGCTTGTCAACAGTGTGTTTTATAAAGCTCCCTGGAGTTCTTAGAAATTATTATGTTGCGATGCAATTTTTTCCTAATTTTTTTGTCTGTCTTAGATCTATAACTATATTCTGAGATTCTAGAAAAAATGCATGACATCTACATAGCACAATGCTCATAAACATCTTACTTCAGATTAAATCAGACTTACAACGAACCCATAACACAAACATGTGTCCCTGAACTAATTTTGTATTCAAATACGCATTTAGTGGTAAAAAGTGTCGACAGTATGTGCTGATTTCATTTTTACCTAGAGGCCAACAAAAGAGGAACTTCAAACAATAGCTACATTCTGTCAAAAGAATTGTGATGTGATGCTTGACAGACCTGAGCAGTTCTTAATGGATTTGTCAAAAATCAGCTGTTATGAGGAGCGACTTTACTGTTTGATGTTAAGAACAAGCGTGACAGATTCTCTCTCAGAAATTGGACAGAAACTGACCAACTTTCGATTGGTTTGTGAGGTAAAGGTCATGAGTTCAATTTAGAGGTGTCATAACATCATTTGATTATGTTCATAACAGCTACATCAAGTGTTAGTATCAATATAGTTCAAAACTGAACAGAGAGGTTTTAGCAGTTGGATTGGCTGGGTGACTAGTTAATGACCTGCACAGCTTCACCTACACTTTTGTTGCCAAAATATTTTCCACTTTGGCCCTCCCATTCAACCAATAGGGTGGTAGTCCTGTGGTAAATCCTTGCATTTGGATTAGTTCTTACTTGGTCCATATTTTGCTATATAAATTGTTTCCATGGAAACAGTCATGAGCCATATATTTAGTTTGCAAAAGCCAGGAAATTCAAAATTACACAAGTTTGAATTTGTGTTTGTGCAATTAAAAAAAAACAAGTTTGGTCTGAGCGCCTAATACTTACTAACCTCTCTTGCTCAAGCTGTCTCGGAGAATATTGGCCATCAGCTGTATTTTAATTTTGCTGTGCTTGGTCTGTGTGGCCGCAATCTCAGGTCAATAGTCCCTAGTACATTTGTAATGCTCAGTTAGTTAGATGTTACTATTGTATGATCTTTGTGACCCAGTACAGGCTTTTACTGAAAATAATTAACCCTAAGTCAAAAATCCCTGGGTGTTTATTATTGCAGACAGTTAGCCAATACATATGTGTATTGTTAATATAGGAGAACTAATCCATCACAGTAATGGACCCTGTTAGCTTCATACATCATAGATTGGTTACATGGTCCAAAATGGGTAAACAACAGTCATGGTCATATCAAATTTAATTGAAAAGTGCTAAGAATGGCCAGCTGTTGTTACACCTGTAACTGTCATATAATAATATTTCCACAAATTTGGATTTGCATTTTCTTATATATGCTAAGGATCCTAAATTTCGGAAGTTAAGTATCCATGTGTATATCTTCCTCTACTGGTCACACAAATTTGTGTTTTGATCTGCATGAGTTAATGGTCAGAAAAAAATTTCGTCTTGTCTAGATTTTAATATGTTGTATTTGTTTTTCAGTTTCTTTTAAAATGGATATGGAATTTTAGAATGAAAAATGGACAATGATTTTAAGTTAGTAGACAGCCGAGCTATAAAGATGGTGCACTCAAAAGTTTGTTTTTCCAGATCAAGGTGTTTATTATTTCTACATTATCACAGTCTTTTGAAAGCTGATGTATCTGTTAATCTATGAATATGAAAATTTCAACATGAGAAGATGCAGTTTCACCTATAAGATGTTGCCTGAATCACATACTTGAGCAGCCATTTGAATTCTTGTTTACCCATTTCAAACCTAAAGCTAAAAGGGTTTATTGGTTTAGACTGATTCATGCAAATTTCTTTTCAGCGAATTTGAGTGTATTAAGGAGGTTGGATACAGTTTCTCTTTGCTCTACTAGCTATATTCAGAGGGCTCAAAACCAATGTTCCCCCTCTCTGGTTGTATGATTTTGACATATGTTCAAAAACTCCTCAATATATTTTTTTCTCAACTTCAGGATTTTCATCACTGGAGTAAGGCTTTACTGCTGGGTGAATTTCAATCATTTGAATGCAGTCTTTTCAAAATTATGATGCTGCAAAGTTTATGAATAATTAGTCAGCCACAAAATGATTCTGTTTATGGAAAGATTCTTATAATTAAGTTGTACTTGTCAAATTAAAGTTGTTTTTTGGAAGACAAATTTTGAATGTGTTCAATGGTATTACCTTGAATTTGAAACCGGTCCCTGGTTTTGATGGGGCAGAAATCTTGGGAAATTTAGAGGATTTTTCACAATGATATTTCCCCGAATGCTAGTTTGAGGTTAGGTCTGTTTTCTGTAACTAACAAGTTACAAAAAAGTAAAAAAAGGGGAATAATACATGGGTGCGCGTAGATATGGAAGTTTTTGTAATCATGACTCAACGCATTTTTCCATCTTAAGAGTCAGCGCCAACGCACTCTACGATTGTTATTCGAGGATTGTCGATTAATTTATTTCCATTCATTAACGAGGTCGGCTTTTCTTCCCAGAAAAGGACTGTTGTGTTTATATGATAAACAAGTATTACATGGTTGCTTGTAGATATGGAATTTCCCTTCTTGTGTTCAACTCAACATCTCACTCGTTCGCTGCGCTCACTTGTGAGCTATCAAGTTAAACACTCAAAGAGAATTTCCATATCTACGCGCGCCCATGTATTATTCCCTATTTATTATTTTTTTGTAACTTGTTAGTTCATTTTGTAAAGTTCTTTAAGTCTTTTGCTACTGAGGGAATATAAAATAATTAGCATGCTATTGCATTTCATTTCCTGAGATGGTTGATTATACATGGGACCAGGGACAGTAAGATTTCAGGGGAAGGTGAAGGTTTCGTTCGATTCTCGCATTTCATGTACGTGACATATTGTCGTCTCACCTTATTTTAGACATTTAGGCCTTGTTTTAGATGGTTTTAGATAGTTTGCGAGTGGCTGTAGATGTTTTTGAGGTGGTTGTTGGTGGTTGTTGAAATTTTTGAGGTGGTTGTAGGTGGTTTTAGGTCGTTCCATGCTTGAGTACTTACCTTATCTCAAAAATGGCTCTATGTAACTGTTGCGAGTTTTCTCTTCTTGAAGTAAAACTTAGATACATCAAATGAGGTTAACATATCAGACCCACCATTTCAAACTTCAGTTTTTGGTCAACATGTGTGTGAAAATAGTTTGACTGCAAAGGGAGTGAGTTTATTTTTCTCAACTCTAAAATTATGTTCCTTGAGTTATTCCTCTTAGACCTCTTGTTTGAGATGAGTGTTAAATGCATAGGCTCATCTTCTGGCTGAGTAGTTTAAACCTACTATTAAGATGAGGGAAGTGTTATAAATTGTAATTTAAGACTAAATAAAATTTTCTTTTATTGTAATGACCTACTAGATGTTGCAGACATGCAAAGAAGTTCCGAACATTTTGGGTTTAGTACTTGCCTTTGGGAACTATATGAATGGAGGAAACATTGCTCGTGGACAGGCAGATGGTTTTGAATTGGACATCCTTCCAAAACTGAAAGATGTGAAATGCAAAGACAATTCCACCAACCTGCTACATTATCTTGTAACTGTGTACATTGAAAAGTTTGATAAGGTACATTCTTTATTATGTCATCAGTATGTATCAATTTTCTGGACCATTGCACAGTAGGGTTGTCTTGCATTTTGATTGGTGTTTGCTCTTGAAGCTACCTACTTAAATATTTTATTTAGTGTGCATTAGGGTGCACCCAAAGTCACATCTTTCTGACTTTAAGAAATGATGTCACTAAGGACAGACCTGTGATATATATTTTAAGGAATAATTCCTTGTAGTTTGTTATGTTTTTTTCTTCATTACTGACTTCCTTCAAATGTTATATGTCCCAATTGGTGTTATAAATAGGCAGACTTGTCTTTTTTTCACCAACTGGTAGGTTCTATGTGTTCTATAAATTTTTTGGGGGGTCTGCTACAATTCGATGTAGATATTGTGGTTAAAATTTTCAGAAAGGACACTGGGATGAAAAAATTGCAAACCAAACAAAAGATGTGCTTCAGTTACCCCATATTACACATGTTGGCAACAATTTGAAGTGTTTTTCCTTAGAATGCAGGGACTGTTAATGCCAAGTTTCCACTACCAGAACCACATGATCTGAAAGTGGCATCTCAAATAAAGTTTGAGGACATAGAGGCAGAAATAAACAGCTTAAGGAAGCAGTTAGACCTATGTAATAAAAAGCTTTCCAAAGTGATGAAGGAAAGTGAAGAAAGTCTTCAACAACCGTTCAGTAGCATAATGAGTTCATTTCTGGAGCAGAGTCAAGGAGAGCTTTCAGAGCTGGAACAAGCACTTACAGAGTGCCACAAAAGGTAGCTGCAAAACACAAGGCCAGGAGCATATTGAGCAAATGACACCACTAGAGCAATGTTTTCAACATTTTGCTCCTCAGTTATAATTAATTGCATCATAGTTTTTCTCTTTTCCTTATACTCTTTCACTATTCTTTTCGATGTGAGGGATTTAATATCATCAAGATGTTTAATACAATCTTCTATTTTTTAGAGGGACAGGAAAGGCAGAAAATGTTTCAACAAATGTCACAGAGTGTAGGAAAGTGTCAAACTAAAGTTACCTCTGTCATCATTTGGAGAAACTGTCCCACACACAAGTCTCTTTGCTAAATCAGTGTTATGATGAATGTCTGGTCTTGTAGCCATTTCTATGTACTGGTATGCTACAAGGGTTATCTTTCTCCATAGTTAAAGGCAGTGCCCACTTGGGGCTTTTGTGTGATGAATTAGGTGATCGATAATATTTTATCTCACAGGTTGTTAGGTTGATTTTAAAGGTTTCTTACAGGTACTCATCCCTTTGGAGATTCTTCAATGCCAAACCTATGGCTACATGTAGTCCACCTCAAGAATTCCTTGAGATCTGGGCAAAGTTTAGTTCTGACTTCCTGTTATTCTGGAGAAAGGAGCAGCAGCTGATTGCCAAACTTGCTTTTGAAGAAACAAAACGAAAAGTGTACAAGGAAAAAGTAGAAGGAATATCCGTGAAGCCAGCAACTGTTAGTGGTTTGAAACTTAAGTTGGCCTCTTCAAGAAAGGCAAATGCTAGCTGAGCCAACTAAATGAAAGTACTGGCAGAATGGTTTGGCTCTTGTAGTTACCAAGACTTCACAGTAGTGGGTTTCACTTTGAAAGAAAGGAAATGTACATCATGTAGTACCGTGAGAATTTGCTTCCCCTAATTTCTTTTGATCAAAGTTCTCTCATTATTTGTGAACATAGCAACCTAGAGTGGTGGCAGTTTCAATTGAATTGAATGAAAACATTCGATCTTTGAGTGCTTTTGTTGTCAATAAGCAGAGTGCAATAGTACTTCCATTCTTTTTCACCATTCTGGTGAGGGATTTGGCTCTTGTCCATTGTAACTGTGTGTGGTATTTAAAAATTGAGAGTTAAATTGTCACCATTCCATGCTGCAATGAAGCTGCGGCCATGCCAAATGTAAAAAAAATTTATACACATAGTTGTGTACCCAATTATGACCACGTCTCTAACAGGGTAACAGATTAGGCAGAAAAGTTTAACTCAAATATAACCAGGTACTTCATTTCACAAAGGGAATTCCTGTTTCTTAGTGGAGGTCTTATCGTGAAGTGGGGTGAGTCTATTATAAGCTTTCCTGGCCAACCTTGTACCAAACTACATATAAAACATGTATCAGGATATCAAAGTGGCGCCAGACAAGACAGTTATATTTATAGCTAATTTATTAATGTAATATTTATTAATGTTTACCCAGTAAGAGTCATACTTGTATTTATTTATTTATCCTAATAAGTCATATACCCTAGTATAAATAATGCACTGCTTATTTATTTATTTATCTTTAAGTTAATAAGTCATATATCCTAGTATAAATAATACGTTACTCTATTTAAGACAAATTATTATGCAATATAGGATACAATATAGGGAAGTAAGCAGTTAATTGTTATGTAGATTACAGAAACCAAATCAAGTGGAAACTCCTTGCTGTGGGAGAGGAAAGAAAAGCCTTTATTTTGCAAGGGGCGAGATTGGAATAAAAAAAGAGTGAGAAAAAGAGAATTACAGGATGTAGTTATATGTCAATTCATCACTTGACAATTCTTAACTATTTCTCTGTCCTAAGGGAACTCAGTTAGATGTTTATTAAACCAGGAACACTGGAACACACAGGAACACCAAAACATGCTGCAGCTCTAGAGCAACCTAGAACACCGCAAAATATTGAAAGAGAAAAAAAGAAAAGAAAAAATATCTACATATATATATACACAAGAATTTATGAAAATGAAACTCGATTTGCAGGGATTTTGCGCCCTTTGTGTGTCGAGTCTGTTATCAAGTTTTTCAGTTGACCAGTAACCTCGTTGTAAGGGGCTTTGGAGTACTGGTGCTTTTTTTGCGTTGCAGTTGCCGTGCACTTTTCACTCCATATGTTGTTTTCAGTTGAAATCTGGGAAAATCACCCCAATCCTCAGCCATGTCTCTGTTTTTTGTTTCACAAGTACGCGTCAGGTTGTATTTCTCTCTCTCTCTCTTCCTTTTCCTTTCTTTTTTTTTTTTTTTTTTTTTTTCTTCTTCATTTTGGTTTTTCAACTTGGTGTGCTGAGTTGTTATGGTGTTTCTGGGTTTAGAACATGCAACTCATTTGCATGTCTAAGACTTCAGGCAGTCTTTATAAGTGAAACAAATAACGAAGCTTGACAGGTTTGAATAAGACATTTGTTCTTCATGCGAAGATCCACCACTTTCAATGACACTGAGCTGAATAATTGTTTTCGTAGGTACCGCACAGATTCTTAAAAAAATAAATACCGACGAATAGTTGGAATTAAATTCTTGACGCGTGCTGTTGTCTCTTCGGCTGCGACTCATCTCCGAACTAGCCAATCAGCGCGCGCGAAAAATACTAATTACTTGCCTGGTTTATAATCACTTCGTACGAGGTAATTATAGTAGGGGACGAAGGGCGCTTAATTTCAAAATGACTACCTCGTGTTTTGTCAATGTTACGCAGGAACTGATAAAAGCATTAGAAGAAAATACAATTCTGAAGAGCCCAAAGATGCCATTAAGTTTTGACACTTCTCAAAAGAAAGGAGAAACTGGCTGCTTATCTTGATACGAGTAATCAAAACATTGTAACAGAACGGTGTCATCAGCAAAACAGATTTACACCAGAATTCAAAATGACTTCGTCTCGGGAATTATTAAACAATTTTACCTGAGCCTGAGGCGCTAAAATTGTTAATAAGCATCTATTGTTCCGGTGCATCAAGCCTGCTTTCAATCTGAACTCTTTCAGCAGTTGAATTACGTTGCAATTAGGCCACCAGAAAAATCGCAATTAGTTTTTCTCACCATCACGAACGATGAACAGGTGAAAAATTTTCTCTACGTCGCATGTAATAGCGTGAGGATATCTTCTGAACCTACAGAGCACGGAACTCTTACCCCCTTACTTGGAGACTTCTAACTCTTTGGCTGTCGACAAGAGATTCTTAGCTTGTAGGAGTACCCAGGCGAAGCTTTGTTGTGTGTGTTTCTAGTCCAAGTCCGTCACAGGTTTCCTTTTCAGACATTTGTCCCTAGAAGGGACAAATGCTCTGAAAATGAACTGTCTCTCCACCACTTAAACCAAGACTTCAGTTGGCTTTCCTCCGTTTCTCCTGACATGAGTTTCAATTACTGCTCTTTAAGGGCGTCGTAATATTCAGGAGTCTCGCATTCTAAAAGTTTAACTGACATATCTTTAAACTGTGTGTCTTTATTCATACTAAGCTCCCGGCAGCGAAGACCCCCTACTCCTTGAAGTGGAATTCACATGTCTTGATGCGATTAACAGAACTATCTCCAAATACTTTTCGCATCGCACTAAGATTGGATCCGGTCATGTCAGTGCACCAGTCGATTGGATTGAACACTGTTGTGGTGCCGCTCGAGACTTTTTCAAAAACTTCATTGAATAACTCTCAAATTAGAGTTACGTTTTCACTGTCGTCGAAACAAAGGGCGGTAAACACTTGCTTACCATCGATAGGATGTAGGCCGATGGCACATGGGAAGGTTTTACGGTTAGATTCTTCCGAAGATATCCTTTCATATCCTCCTTTGCGCTAGAGTGTGGTGGACGTTTGAAGGCGCATGTGTGGTTTCCGTAATGAAACACTCGAACATGGCTTTCCTTGATAACCAGGTACCTGCGTGCCTTACAGGGAATGTACGACGGTTGTTTTTGACAAAGGGAGCATATCAGCTGGCCCTCTTTCTTCTTGAATTGTACTGTATTCACAACACCATATTCCACCTTGTACAGGCAGTGATCGTTAGTACGAGCCATTACAGTTGGCATACCGTACTTTTCCATACCCACTTCATTCGGTTCTGCTGCCTTTCTTCCAACTTCGACCATCCGTCATTACTCTGACGAATACAAAGAGTACGTATAATTTGCGTGTTACAAGTTTATTGCCTCCATGGGTGACAAATGACTCCTTGTAAAATAAGGGTGAGGCATGAAATTACACACGGTTACGCAATCACAGTGCGTGAGCCCCCTCTGGTGAAAAGATTACGGAAAACAAGGCCTACTCGACGAAATATCTACATTACCCACGTGCTCGAAATGATAACTTGAAACAAGCGTAGCAGTGTTTTTTTCTTTCAAATTATAAAATCTATCTATTCCACTAACCTCTTCGTATTTATAGCATCCAAGAGGCAGAATAGGTTTCCCAGGACAGTGGTTCTCTACTTCACATGTTTCAATCATGGGCGTCATTTTCCCCTGTAGAATTATGAAACGCAACAAACGTCAATCCAGATAAAATTCAAAATGCTTAATAAAGCAAAGTACCTCGGGTGTAATCTTCATGAAGAAGATGCATAACGATATCTTGCCATGTTGATGTCAGCCTTTTTTTTCCCATGCCTGTCGTCGAATTCAGGGCTGTCCTTACACATATCCTTTCCAATGTCAATGTCACTCTGAAAACGTATATGCGTCACTAATTCGGCTGATAATCTGAGGCAGATTGAACAATTACGAATTGCCTGCTCCTTCTCTTCGAGAGACTCCTAAAGGGCAAGGGTCAATGCCACATCCTCTTCCTCGGACTGATATTTATACCACGAATTACGAAGCGGGGATTTGTTTCCAACAATCTCCGCAGTTGGAGAATTATCAGACTTAACTTGGTGTACTGTGTCCATAACGATAAATAGCTAATAAATAAACCGGCGCCAAATACCATAGGGCAAGTAAAAGGCAATAACTCTCAATAAGGTTGCAGTCCATTGGATAATGCTTTATTGTACCAAAAATTAGGTGATTATTTTGAAAGGAAATGACAAAACAGTGAGGGGCCTCGATTCGACCCTCAAAATAGCCCTTCACAATAACTTGTTAATTATTAGCCCAAAATAAACAATATGTTAACTCTAAACATGTCATATGGTAGGCAGTTGCCTGGGTGTACTTCTTACCAAGTTTAAGCTGATTTGATTGAATTGTTGATTAATTATGATCTTTTAAGTAAGCTACCAAAATCTTACTATGAACCAACCGTAATGCCCCCTTAAGAATCCGAAACAAATCTTACTTTCGCTGAAAAATTTTAGTCTGCTTTGTAGCGTCTGGGTCTTAAACATTACACAGGTATCTAATTGGTGGCTTGACTACTTGTAGAACAAGGTGTATTGCGGTTGTCGTCTGAACTTTTCTGTTGTTTTCGTTCACTGTACGCTTCCTTTCCCTTCATCTTTCGGTTTGTCACTGACTTCTTGTCTATTACTTGCTGCCGCGTCTACTTCCTTGATCGCGTAACAGGATGAAATTGGGTGACATAAGAGATCCGTCTCTTCTCTGATGAATGTAGCGAAAGTATCGAAATCTAGATATGTCTTTGTTTCTCTCAGTCTTCCTCTAGTTTCTCAATTCCATTGCAAGACGAGCCCAGCAGTTTCTGATTTTCCATGTAGTCGTTCAATACGTTTAAATCCTTGATAGTGTGCATTGCTGTTTCAACACTGACCATGAAGTCAGCGTTGAATGATCTTTTTGGTTGATCGTTACCCATCGTTGTAACCTGTCTCTGTACACTTGGCCTTGAATACAATAAACGGATGTCCAAAACGCTCATTCAAACTGTGATCAGTAAGGATTGATGCTGCGAGCCTAAGTAAGAAGCAGCTGTTACACTGACCGTGTGCGGCCTGAGCGCCTCATATACGACTCAGCTCAGCACTCGATTTTATATCCAACGAGACGCACCACTGCGACGTTTTACTGGCACTTTAATGCAGTTGTTCTAAATGTTCTGCATTCGAAGCCGAACAAAGCTCAATTGAAATGAAGTGCTTGAATGACGGAGACGTATCGCAGTTCTGTCATTTGCAAGCTATACTATTTTTGATCTCATTTCTTAAGATTTTGAATCGATTAATAACTTGCCACTCGTTTCCACGCCTTTAGACAGTGAATGGCTAGTCAAAGTCTAAGCTTTATACCAATCTATAAATGTATCAATCTTAATTATATCACTAGCAGTGCCCGTGGGGAAGATGAAGCAAATCCTGTGTTCTGATAGGCTACCCGAGCAGGCAAGATGGGCCCGAGAATTTCAAAACAGCACACTAAAGGAATTTTTGATGTACTGGTTCCGGAAAGTTCAACCGAAAAATAGCAAGCTGAAGTTTGCTTTTGATACTACTCATTGCTGTGTTTAATGGCATTCTACAAGATTATAATAGCAGGTAATTTAGTATTAACAACTGAGTTGAAAACGTCAATTGGCTACCGCAAAGAGTAAAAAAGCTGACGTTTTGAGCGTTAGCCCTTCGTCAATCGCTCTGACGAAGGGCTGACGCTCGAAACGTCTGCTTTTTTACTCTTAGCGGTGGCCAATTGACGTTTTCAACTCAGATGTTAACACTAAATTACCTGCTATATTCTCCCACTGATGCAGTGCCACAGTTTCTTTCCTAACTTACCCCCTTTATTATATAATAGCACAAACTGTAACAATTTCATGCAAATTAGGAAGGACTGGAAATAGGAACAATGTATTGAACAATGAAAATAGTAACTGCACCACATTTAGAGCCACCATTTGACCAAGTTAGGCCCTGTTGCTTAATATTGGAAAACAACATTTTCAATCTTTCCCGAGAATTTCCGTAACACCTATAATTTGTAGGGATTAAACTTTGATCATAGTACTAATAGCTCCTTAAATTACTTTCATTTGCTGTGTAATTGGAATAAATGTACCTATGGCTTCAATTTCGTCTTTTCCTAACTCGTCACCATAACTTAGAATGAAAGAGGTTTCTTAAACAAAAGGTTTCCTTTACTCCTGTGGTTTCATACAATAGTCAATATTTACATTGAAAAATTACGTTGAAGCAGTGAAACAGAATTTGTCTTCACTTTTCTCATGTTTTCATTGGCTCTGCTTGCTCCACTTGGTGACCATTCTTTTCCAGTTCTGCCCTAAAAAACATGGATAAATATAACTTATATTAGCATTGATTAACTCATCATTTTACAGCTGTTCTTGTGGATGCAATTTGCAGCTAGACCTGAACTTTTTTGTGGGATCAAGAGTACAAGTGCCTATTGGCATTCACTGTTTTTGAGATATTATAGCTGAGTTTGCTCAGGAAGAGACATTTTTAGCTATGTGGTAATGTGGTTTGAAATGGGTAAACAAGAATTCAAAATGGCTGCTAAAGTATATGCTGCAGACAACATCTAATTGGTGATATTGCTTCTTATCTTGCCTATTCACTGATAAATCAGCACTCAAAAGACTGTGGTTTATAGGAATCAGCAACAAAAGATATACAGTTTGTATTTGAGATTATAAACAGCCTTGAACTGGAAAAACAAACTTTTGAAAAAAAAAAAAAAGAAATGGGCACAAAAGGGAAGCAAATGTATCACATAAAGCACTTTTAGGTGATTTTGTGACTTAAGATTAAAGTGACACTATATTTTGTTGAGATCTGTAAAGCTGTAAAGGGGATTTATAAATGTCATGTCAAATGCTCAGTTTACCCTTTCTCAGAATACATAGCCATGGATGTTGAAACTCAAGAAATTGCCTAAGGTCACCTGCTGGTCATAGTTCTTAAACAACTAAATGTCTGGCAGTGGTCTTAGTGGCATTACTTCTTTTGGAAATAGCCACTTGTTGACCATAAACATAATGAAGGACAGGTGCAATCTTTCAATCTCCTAGTTCAGCTGTCTGAAATCCTTGTCTTCAAAATTGTCAGCACACTTTGGTACTAAAGGTTACTCTTAGGTATTCATTTTGAATTTTTTTCATTTTAAAATTCCATATCTGTTCTAAAAGAAACTGAAAAACAACCATCACATTTTAAAATCAAGGGGAGACAAAACTATTTCTCTGACCATTTACTAATGCTGATTAAAACACAAATTTGTGCAACTAGTAATTGAAGAAATATAGCATGGTTACAAACTTGACTCACCAACTTTAATAAGGCAACTAGAACCATGATAAAGGTTATTTCTAACTTGATATTTGTATATCCTTGATCAGCTTTGAGTCTTCTGAGTTTGCCTCTTTTCAGTAGTTTGTCACATTTCTTAGAAAGTTCTTTACAATGATGCCCCATTTATTTCACTGCCAAAATATTTCTCCACTGAAGGGACAAGAAATTGAGATGTCCCTTGTGCTTTGATATGTTACACAATCTAAGACAAATAAGTCGTAGATGGTAATTTGTGAGTACCCACGTTGTACCTTAGCTGATTTGAGAAGTCATCCTCTACAGTATCATCATCCCAATTATCCTCCCAAACATGTATGTCAGCCTGGTCTTCATCCACAGCTGTCCACTCTAGTAAAAGAGTTACCATAATGGTGGTTAACCCATGAGTAAATGATGAGATGACACCCTCCATAGTAAATAAGATATTTTACATGTAATACCAAACCTTAGAAAGTAGAGCTCCATTACTCAGCAAAGACCACATTAGAAATCATACCAGGCAGATGTAATATTGCTCAGTCATACCATTTATAATTAGTTTGCATAGCTAAAATAATAACACAAGTCACCTTAGGTCAATTTGCAAGGAAATCGAAAATTACAAACTGACCCAGCTTAAACCCCTACTCAAGCGATACAACACCAAAATTAAAAACAAACATGGTTAACCCTTGGAAGCAACAATTCCATTTCATCAAAAGTGATTCAGACACAGACTGAACAATTCCTGGAACTGTTTCGCCGGACTTTGAACTTTTTTTGTGCCTTAAAGATGTGAAGATATCATTGCATATTATTGTTTTGATCCTATGTGGTTGTTTTGACTGAACGCACAGTTTGAATGAATTATTTTTGCACTTGATGCATGCGCTTTGCCTGTGCTTAATTATGATAAGCCATCTTTTATTTTTTCTTGATTATTATTGACACATAATCACATGATTTTTCTTGTGCAATTTGGAATAAATAAGCACTTGTTTATTTTTTCAAAGACCACAAATTGCACTCGCCCTACAGGCTTGTACAATTTTGTTAGTCTGAAAAAATTTACTCCTGCTTATTTATTCCAAATTGCACTCAAAATCATGTGATTACCTATACTAATAATGAATGGCAATTCCCTTCCCTAAACACCACTTTTTCCAAACCAACAACCAAAAAGCAGTGCCTTTTACTGTGTTTTTCATTGTTTGAGCTGTTTTTCAGCCGCGGTGGCAAAAGAAAACCTACCTAAAACACTGGCCATTGTTTCTCTCACAAATTTTCAAATTTTGTTATGATATCCAAGGCTCGCATTTGATTGGTTGTCTGTGAGTTTCTTTGATTATTGAGCAATCAGAATGTCTGATTTGTTACTTTCTTTGCACTGAATTAACTCTCTTCTGCACTGAATTACCTGAAACCTGCATCTATCTCAACCAGTCAGAACTGAGTAATTTTTCCATGTATATTATTAGCCAAAAAATAAATAGTTTGCACAGTATTCTTGCAATTCAAAATTCCTGATGTTTTGTGTTTTGCTCTTATTCTTATGAGGTGACCATCAAAGAACTTGTTGGTCTGTATCTATTAGTAATCAAAAGGGCTTTAATTCTGGTCTGAGTGATGAAAAGAGCCAAAGGTCACAAACATCATAGCTTTGGACAGTAGCCACAAAAACTAGGTTGAGTTCATGAAGTTGAGGCTAACTGGAAATCTTCCTCTGAAAATTAATAAAAGAAATCTATAAAGTATTCTTTCGTGATTCGCATTGTTCCGCTTTGCTTTTCTTTCCTTTGGCAATTCCTATCAGAAATATTTTTTTCAGTTGTGAGATGAAACTTGTTTAAACAGCTGTGTGCGACGGGAAGATTTTTCTTTTTCATTACTTTTATGGGAGGTATAAAAGAATGCCTTGAGCTTTGGGTACTAGACCTAGTTTTGAAAACTTGATTCCACATGTTTCGTTGTAAAGCTATTAGAGGTTTTACGGGATATTTACCTGGATCACTTGAATTCAGTCTAAACAAGGTGATGCAAATTACAGAAAATGAAAGATCGATGGCCAGGGGATCAGATTCAAAACAACTTAACGAAGATCCTCTAAATTCAAATAAGATGAATTACTTCTTGTCTTTTTTGTCTCGATAGTCGTAGACACTAAACACTAGACAAAACTTAAAAATATCGTGCTACAAGAAATGGGAGTTACGATAAGTGACCGATAAAAGGATAGGTGTTACCTTCTGCAGGAAACTCTTCAAATTCGTCATCTTCTTCCAATAACCCTAGATCAGCTTTCTTCATCAGCGTCGCTGAGTTCACGCTCGCCATAGCTAACACTCTCGTCACCGGCACCACAACTACTGCGCAGACTCAGTCTTTTATACAACCTCGTACCCAGAGGTTTCTCGGTCTTACTTCTAAGATGGCGGTCTGACGAGACACCCTTGTACAGAGTCCTTTGCACGGGAAGACAAGCTCAGATGGCGTGCTTAACGCCATTTGCACATAGTATCGTCCTGAACTAGATAAAGCAAATCAGGTGGTTTTAATTTTGTTTCCCTGTTGCCTACTCTGCAGGCGTGTTGTTAGGGCGAGTCAACGTTACAAACTCGCGATTGTTTATCTCAATTTATCAACTTTATCCGGGCAGCCATGTTTGATTTAGAGTTAGAGTGGAATGAGGGTTAAGGCGGGGGGGGTAAATTTCAATTGTACAACCCCCTGCCTTTACCTTCCTTTTGATCATATGTAACTCCATTCGTTCATTTGTCTTTTTCTCACTAGCCTCCCGCTGCTATAAAAATCAAAGATGGCGACTTTAATGGTCTTTAATTTTTATCTGGAAGATATTGGACACTCGCTTACCAAAATTTCACTTGCTTACGAGGCTAACTTTCCAGCGGACGTGCCACAGATTTTACGACTGACATGTTAGGCTGACTTGTTAGGGCTCAAATGACCATGATCCGCGTGACGTTAAAGTGTGTTTGTTGTTTTATGACAAAATCAAACTTTACTTCTCTCAACATGAACAAACTGACTTTTTGAAGTTTCATTGTACCAAAAATCGTTACCACCCATCTTAATTAAAGAGTTCTCAAGGCTTTCAATCCGGAAAATCGATGTTATTCACTTAAATCTCTGTCATCGATCCAAATATAATTTCCTAAAGTTGAAATCGATTTGATAACTTTGAGCAAATGAATAGTATTCTGACGTGCGCCATAAATTATCTTTGTGTTGCTATTTATAAACATACTCCTCTGTTTTTTTTCTAAGATTTCGTATCTGCAACTAAAATAAGTAATAGAAATAGGAGCGAGTGGAGTCCAATTTGGTCTGTAACCATAGTAGTGATTAACAAAATCGGATTTGTCCGATTTGTCAATCACGAGTATGATTTTATTAACATTATGGTTGCATCCACAGCTTCAATTTCCATTAGGCATTCTGTACAGTTGTAATCGGACAGTTGGCTGTAATCGGACAGCTGAAGCAGCCAATCATACTAAGTCCACTCAGCTAATCCACCAATCACAGAAAAGATCACAATAACCGTAATATTGACGAAATCCTTTTATCTTTACAATAAATTCGTTATTGACCATGCTTGTATGGTCAAGATGGCTGGATATTAGCCTGTTTTTATTGTTTATTTATTTTTCATGGAAAGAGACGAAGTCGAAGTCCATAAAACGCAAAAAAAGGGCTCGGTCAATATACAACCATCATGACCTCACGCTTGGTCAATAACGCGTATTTAATATTGCCAGGAAGTAGGCATGAAGTCATGCCTACCGGATGTGTAGAGGATTTTCGTACCAATAATTACATAGTTTGTCTTCCATGTTACGTATGTTTAAAGTTATGTTTCACAAATTAAATAGAAATATAATTTGCGTCAAATAGGTTTTGTTTATGAGCGTCTATTTTAACGCGCGATTATCAAATGTATGGCCTTACAAAAATGCGGGGTCTGGTCTGGTTATCGTTAAGGCGATTCCTCAGTGTTCCATTGAGCATAAAAGTCAGGCGAATAAGCGCGTACGCCTTCCGAGAAAAGGTATTGTTTGGAGATAATTTAAAAAAAACAGGACAACTAAATATAACGAGGGCGGGAAAGGGAGAATCGTAGACATTCGCAGTAAGATATAGGGTCGTAGAGGAAATGCACGAACTTTTGAAAGACCCTGTAGAGTGGGTAGGGGGCAAAATAACGATTTCTACAAATTTCTTATCGGCGTAACCATGCTTGTAGTTTCAAAAATAATGACTGCTGTTTTGTAGCCCAACGTTGTTTTGTAACCCAAGCAGATACAAACCAAATCAACATGACGCTCATGGTAATAGAGTTTATTTGCTAGTCTCGACTCCCTTCCCGAAAAACGCAGTCTGACATAAGGATGCAGCGGTAATTCGAATCCTTATTTTAAAGGTATCAGAAAATATTATGTAAGGGTTTGTAATTCTTTTAGAGTAAATGTTAGAAGAGTAAATTAATTGACGTTTAAGTCTTCCCACTTCATTCATTTTATAATTAAAGAGCCAGGAAGATCACACTTCAGTTCTTCTTCTAACTTCTGTCTCTTTCTCCTATGAATTTAGTTAAATCAAGTTGGCATCTTGTTATCAGTCTTGGAAATCATCGGAAAAGTAATCAGGAGGTTGTGCCCATGCGGTTTTTTTCCTTTCCTGAGACAATAACCTGTAAATGAAAAGGTTGATAAGAAGACAAACCTTTTACAGCTCAAAAGCGAAAAAAAAAATAGCAATTTCCATGGCGAGCGGTGAGATCGCGAAACTACTAACATTTACAACAGAGTTACTTTCTTACCGTACCAACAAGAAAGAAAACGTCAACGATTTAAGCATAAGCAGTAACGTTCAGTGGTATTAAAAAGCGAGTTTGAGATTCGTTAGCTCGACATTTTTCGTTCCTTTGCATCATAATAGATTTCAATGTCAATAACAGTGACGTGCAAACACTGATTTGTACAAATTGACGAGCATTAAAAAGCGATAGTCCATAAATGTCGGATCAGGCGGGACAGGCGGGTTCACCGACTTGGCTCAAATTTTGCATGTGAACTTGGTTAGAGGTTCTAATCCCGAAATGGATATTTTGAGATTGAAATTTATTTTGCGTGGGAAATTACGTCTGACGGCTATTTGGAGCCCCACTGAGACATGGAAACGAGGCTAACAAGAGCAACTTTTCAATACCTGGGCTTCCTTTCCTCTCTCATTTTTTATTATAAAAAACGAATACGTAAATCTGCAACTCTTCTACTGTGTTTTAAATGGTCAATTTCGTACAAAAATATGAAGGGAAGGGTTGAAGTACTCAGTTTTAGGTGTTTTAAAAATAACGTAAGTTTAGCAGCTTTGTGGCACTCTTCAAATGTAGAGTTAGAAAACTAGAGAAAATCGCTTTAGCACTCAAAGGCCCATTTTTGAAAGCGCCAATCAGCAAAAGAGGCACAAATTTCCGTGCTCGTCTTTTCACAAAACTCTTGTTTGAGGAACTGTTTTGTTTCGCATATTAAGGTCGAACCTTTACTACAACAAATCACGTTTTCTTTACTCACGGTTTTTGACACAAACTTTGCCTTCGCTGCCACGACCATAAATCTGCAACTTTGATCACGACTCAACTTTGATCAGCTCCCAACTGGCTTGTTAGCTCAGTTGGTAGAGCGCTGCACCGGTATCGCAAAGGTAATGGGTTCAGATCTCGTACGGGCCTGTTTTTTTTTTTTTTTTTTCCAGGCCTTATTTTCACAACTGCCGAAGTGGTGTTTATAACTGCTAGGGTCGCTTCCATATTCGTCACAACTAAACGAATTTAATGTGTAATTAGGTCCGTCATCAATATACTAACTTTTTTGTAGGTTCCTGAGAGGAGGGTAGGAATGGTATGGGCTGAGGAGGGGGCGGGTTGATTTCTCTCTCTATCTGTGATGATAATCTTGCAGACGGAAGACGAGACTCCCTGAAAAGACAATGACATACCCTATAACTAATTGAATAGTTAGCGATGTATCATTCAAATAGTAGAAAGCGTTGGCTGATTAAGTCAAAAGGACCACACCGACATTCAGTGTGGAGACCAGAAACGATGTTTGAAAACGATTCACCGAAGAAACTAGATGGAGAAGGCCTACCGTGCGAGCTAAACAACCTCGCCACCAAGAGTTTCTCGGTCAGGTTTCATAAGATGGCGACCAGTTTTCAAAATGGTAGCTGACCTCGGGAAACTTCTAAGATACACTGGCAGGTCACCCTACGTGTTAGACAAAGATCTAAAGTCATCAGGCCACAATTCACACCGTTTGATGACTACATCTGAGTAGCGAATTGATCGCTATTTGTCTTAAATTAGGTCAGGCTTCTCCAGCACACCCCTGCCCAACGTTCTCATGAGCACCCCCTCCTCCCTTCCCAGATCAGGCTACGGCATATGATACTCACTTAGTGGCAGTTACTACTGTGTTTCTTTTTGGTTCTTTATCATAACTTCTGGATGCACAGTTGTAAAACACAGCAAGTTCATGGACGAGCCGTCTTTGATTTGAGTTCATCGGTGGAAAGGAATGTGTCCTTTGAGATGTTGTTGACTGAAAGGTAATAAGTACAAATGTCATCTTTAATGTTCACGTTTATCCCATGTAGTGACACTAGAGGCCTGTAATATTCAACGATCATTCACCGAAGTTGAATAATAACATTGCAGTACTCCGCAAACTTGAAAATGTAATTTTTACAATTGAGAGACATAGGAACAAATGAGTCCGAAATAAATTTTCTCACGGCACGCTTCCAGATCTCTACAGTTTTTATGTAACTCTTCATACATGCAGTGGTACGTAGATTATCTATTTTGTGATTTAAATCTGCATCCTTTCATAATTAGCCTCTTTTTGGAGTAGTTTATCTAACATAGTATTCAGCGTCCTATTTTTTCGGTTAATCCATTTTCAAAGAGTTTCGAGCCACTATATAAGTTCCCACTTTTTTTTTTTTTTTGCTACTCCTCCTGCGTGGATTTTAAGAGGTTTTTCGAGTTCGACGTAAAGAGTCAATTTACTCTCTCGGCCTGAATCATTTAAAGTGCGGCATTACTAAATAATCACATCCCACTTCTGATTCATCAATTATAAAAATAATTTCCAACTCACTGATCCGGTCGCCGTAAAAAAATGTTAAACAAGATAAATTTCTGATCTTAATTCTTACCTTCAAAGTAGCTTGAACAAGATTTTCCAGTGCCTCCTCCACAGACTTGGCAAATTTTAGATTTTGCCTTTTATTTGCAGAAAAGAAAACAACTTGAATCACTCGTTACGAGTAGGGAACATGTGGGTAGTATGTGAGTACACTGACACCAAACAGAGAACTGCAAACACTATGAAAACCCCACCAACCTAGTTACATATAAACAAGGGCGTCGAAAGGGTGGGTTGAAATGTATGTTCAAATACTTAAATACGCACAGTATGATTGGTCAGTTTCGTGGCTCGTACAATAAATCTAAAACAGGTCTGACGCCAAAGCCTCCCATTATACATCGCCAATTGTTCTTAAACGTTCGAGCAAACGATTCTCTAAACCCCTTCTTTCCTCTGAAATAGTCTATTAAAACGAGCTAAGGACTAAACGACAAACTCGTTATGTTTTTCAGGTAGAAGAGTCGCTGAAAGTGCTCTGCGTGACATAAAATCGTTTCCAATAAACAGTCACACACAGTAGAAATGTAAGGGAAAAAAAGCATTTGTTTTTCTCCCGATTGATTGCCACGCACATCCTAACAAGACCATAGCATAATAAAGGGAAAAATTCGGTTTGGTCCTCTACCTAGACTAGTAAGAGGAACTGAACGTTCATTCTGGTCAAAGTAACGGAAAATACGGACTAAAAGTTGCACAAACCCTTATTTGTATGCCTTTGGTTCGGTATACCTTAGTTTCGAAATATAAAGTGGTAACGGCGGATCATTGTCAATTTTGATTATCACGAATTTCTCTAACTAAATAAGGATTGTGTCGAGAGCTTCTTCTTTTAAAAGAATTTCCCATTGACCTAAAATTAGTCATATCAGGGCAAACTCCTGTCAAGATTCAGTGTCACTTACTTGGCTTCCGTCCAAAGGAATGGTGAAAAGCGAAATGAGACCTCTTGGGACAAATCAGCATTTTCAATGTTAAGTGCTTCGGCCAACCGTCTGTTGAAAAGATAAAAAAGCCATACCAAGTAATTGCTGGATTACTGAGCGTGACAGAGCCGAGTGACTGTAAAGCGTTTTGTTGCATCACAGATTATCTAAATCGTCCGGAAATCATGTAATACAACTACTACTCCTACTACTACTTACAATAATAATAATAATAATAATAATAATACAACTGACAAAAACTGTAAAACATTCAAACTTGAAAAGATTGTGATCAGCAATCATTCAGCACTGACGCAATGCTAACGATCTGTTTTCAAGTTGCAGTGTAACCTGTAGCCCATCAAAACATCTCGAACGTTTCGTGTGTTGTCGAATCCCAGACATGACACCAAGTTACGCAGTACAGTACAAATCGCAAATACTTTAAGACAAGACGTCTGAGTAAATTATTTTCCAAAGGGGGTCTTGAAAAAAAATTAAATACCTGTTTCGTTCGTGTACATGACAATCACTGTTACACTCAAGCCTGAGGAAAATACAAACGGGACAGCCAATATACTGAGATCTACAACTAATTCTCTAGAATCCTTGCAGGAAATATTAGGTACCAGTGGAGACTTCCCTCCATCGTTGGCCTTGTCAATGTCTATTATAATTAATTCCCTTACTACTTCATAAAAATTCATGCAGTTGTGAGTCAACTGATACACTCAACAACCATTCCCTGATTTTAATTTGGTGTGTACGAATCAACACTGATTTGGACTAGGACATTTTACACAACTTACTTTACCCAGTATTTTCTCGAACTTTTCTTTACAGCTGAAGTTAAGAATATGTTGACATAACATTGCAGTCTCTTAAGTTAATTAAAATTCCCAAGGAACGTACCCACTAATGCACCACAACAATAAAATAAAAAGGATTTCCGAAGAGAATTTCTAAAGATAATAGATTGTTTCGAAGCAAATCACAAGTCCAGAAGTCACCCCGCCAAAACATTCAGTCGTTTTCATTCAAGTCTGAATTGTAAAAAGGTGTTCCTGAGTTTTTTCTGTTTTTCTTTATGGAGAAGACTAATTATTCTTACGAGTTTTCTAATGAATAAACTGAATCTTTCTTCAAAAAAAATTTTTCCCACAACAACCATCGACGTTGTTTCCAAATTGCTTGTGGAAATGGACAACGTCATTAACAATAACAAATGAACTCATTTAGGTAATCTAAAATGCAGTTGAGGCTGGTTATGACATATTGCAAAGGTTGCTTCTGGAGGACTCTTTTGTCTTGGTGGCTCTCAAGGGAGCCTTTTTTGGGAGTATTTTTTCAACAGGTTCAGTGTGTGAAAAGTGAACTTCTCTCGGGTGCAGCAGTTATTTAACAGAATTATTTGAGATACCCTTAATTTTACACGTGTCACATATACTTAAGATCAATAAACTGTATGTGATGGTGGCTAGGTACTCAGGTGGGGATGGCTGGGTACCTTTCGTGTTCATCCTATCGCGGCATTGCCGGCCCAAGATCACGTTTCGAGAAAGGCGAAAACTAATGATCTATTCATTAATGAAGGCTTCAAACGAGTCTGAACGTTACCCTCGCGGTGTTAGGATAAGCGAAGAACCGTTGAGGAATTGAGCGTACTCTCAAAGAAAGTAATTTCTCTGAGGAGGAAAAGAATAGACCCTAGAGAAATGTCTGGACACAAACCACCTCGGACCGGATAAGGCTCGAAATTCTGGTGTGTAGCCCCTGCTTCACGCCAAGGATCGGTAAGACTATATGGGACACACTAGATGTGAATTAGTTTTGTTCAGCTTAAATTATAATGTCAATACTTGCATAATTTAGCGCTCTAAACCGACGATGACTTATTCCCCTTACAACGTCTTACTAGCTATATAAATTATCAACGATATCTCCGTAACCTAACACCGCGTCATCTGGGCGGTCACGTTGGGACTCACACAAAGTGTGAAGCCTTCATGCAAGAAAAGACACTTTTTCACTTTTTGGAGACGTGAGATTGGGAGGCCTGTGACCATGGAATGTTGGATACGTTCAGACACGACAGAAAGTTTCGACGCATTTACCTATGATTTATAATTTTTTTGATATATTTTTAAGCATATATTTTTTTGTTTCAAAAATACTGTTGAATTGACGCGAATCACATGTAATAGAAGCGAAACGATTGTAAAACGATACGCCGAGTGACCTGTAAATGCCACTAAAATATAGTGGCGAGTACAAGGAACCCAACTGCTAAAATTTTTAAGATGAAGAAACTTGTTGAAACTGAGCTTACTCTCGCAACTTCTTATCATCCACTTTCATCATGCTGCTGATATCTATACACTGGCCACTTTGTAAATCTTTCATCTTGGTTGCAAGTGTCTCGGTGGCCAGGCTACAATACAAACACACCCACCCTCTCCTGGTTAGCACTGTGGTAGGATTTAGTTATTGTTATGAAAATTTAAAAAAAAATTACTTTCCCCTTTCAAATTACAAACAAATTAGATACATATCAATTTTTCAATCCCCAGGCTACCTACTAATACAAAAAAAAAATCAGCAAATAATAATAAGGAGGAACAGCAACTTAAGTTCCTTTCAATTTCACCATGGAAATTGTATTCCACTTTAACTGCGATTTCAAAGTAAGGAGTTAGATTTAAAAGTAAATCGAAAGAAAATCACGGATCATACAAAGTACCTCTGACGTTGTAGTTGCTTATGATACACTAGCTTCAAGCACTGTAATTAACCTTACCGCTGATATGCTTGAGTAACAGCCGTCTTTTCGCCCCCTTGAAGACAGGGTAACTTTTCTGAACGTCTCCCACATTTGCATTTTACTGTGACCTGAAAAGAATCTTTCCTCTTAAAAAACCTGTATGAACACCATCCTCAGTTGCTTCCACAAAAAAAAGCTACATTAAACAACAATAAAACAGGAAATCCAACATGATAATGTCTACCTGATAGAGTGCTGGTATTGAGGGGGAAAGGGGGGAGTCGGCTTTTGATTGACTAACAAATTTTTCAGCTGACTTCTGTTACAGAAACCGAGATATACACCAACAGAATGAGCCATTTAGCTCGTTATCACACTTGAACCTTCATTGGAACGTAGTTTTTAATTTGAACAGGAACTTAACGAAACATACCTTGACTTTGCATGGTATTGCTGGGCATTGCTTGCCAGAATGGCAGGTTGCTGCACATGGGTGACCACAATCCTTACGTGGAAACTCGCAGGGTTGTAAACATGGCTCATCGTCACTCAGACATGGAAGCTGAATGAACACAACAAATCTTTAACAAAAAACTTCAAGCAACCTGGGATTGATGTTCCGTTATCCCTCTTTGGAAAAAAAGTAGTTGATCTATACATAAAAACGATTTTGTTAAACTGGTATCAGACAATTCTACACGTTACGACGTTACCAATTGGCTCTGCAATAGTAAGGCGCCAAACAGAAGTCCCATGGAAACCCTATAATTATTATTAGTTTCTTCACTAAGTTACACGCGATCAGATTAAGATTCTCTGTAGTCCATGGTACAAGTATATCAGGTATATCAACTGTCCACACAAAATTGATACACAAACAGACGATATGTTGTTGGTTTGGAAAATTTGATCTCGAAAACAAATAAATTCTTCATTGAATTACCCTATGACAAATTTTCAGACATTTGTGTCCACAATTCAGTGGTTTTCCACACTCCTTTCCACATGAGACATCATTTACATGGCACGGAATGTTGTGTCGAACCTTAAAGAAACCAGATCAAATTCATGACATCGAATGATAAAGGATTTCCTCCATGTTATCTGCTTCCATTAGTGAATGTACTATCTTTCCATTGCTATGAAAAAACCTAAACCAAACTCAGAGAGGGAAAAACACTCAATAAGTCGAGCAAATTAATGCAACTGAGTAAAGACTGAAATCACTTTACTTTGATATTCAATTAACACCAGTTGTATATTTGACAGCGCATAGGAATGGTAGTTCAAACATTTTGCTCATTCTTACTGCTTTTTTATAATAAGGACATGGACAGTAACGATCCACAGCAAACTGTTTTAGTTCTGAAATTGTGCAGAAAACTTCCAGGGAGAAGGTTGGTTGCCAGTGGCAGAAACATGTTATTCATTCATCAGTCCCCCATGAGGATTCAAACCTGAGACCTTCAGCATTAGCAATTACATGATCTACCCAAATCTACCATCATGCCTTAATTATCAACAAATGCATATCTCTTTTGACATTGTCGACCAAATTAGTGAACTAACTAACAAGATAAAATGGTGCAACTGGTTAAAATGGTTGAACTAGAAAAAATGGCCGAACCACTTCAAATGGTCAATTAGACAAATTAGTGCAATTGATTAAGATGGTGTACCCAGATAAAATGGTCCAACTGACACCAATGATCTAACTAGGTCTAACTAGTCCAACTAAATGTTCCAACTAATGACATGTGATTAAAATGGACCAACCGGTTAAAATGGTTTTACTAGGCAAAACACTCCAACTGTTGAAATGAAACTAACTTCTTAGTTTAAATGGTCGAAGTAGAGAAAATGGTTGCACGGGTAGAAATAGTCTATCTAGAGAAATTGGTCAACCTGGTTACTATGGTTAAAATGACCTGAGTAAATAAAATGGTCAAACTGCTAAAAATCGTCGTACTAGATAAAATGGTTGTTTGGCGCGCGAGCTGTGAGTAAAGGAGCAAAAAACACGTTTTAACTAAAAATGATACAAACAGGTTAAATGCGAACCTTTCATATCCAGAAAAATATCGACCTTAATCGACGAGGCTCTCGCGAAGGCCACAAACCATTACACTTATCAAAATAAGCCCAAATTTGGGGGTATGTCATTCTTTGTGTACAGCCTCCTGATTCCATGGCATCTTTTACAAGGAAGCTGTGATATGATTGATGCGAGAAACATGCCCTAAACGTTGTGATTGGTGCAAGATATCCAAATACTGTGATATGATTGGTGCGAGATACATACCCTTATGCGGCAATCTGATTGGTGAGAGATAAATACCCAAATGCGGCGATCTGATTGGTGCTAGCAACATACCACTCTACATGCTAACAAAGGATTATTTTTCTTTTTTATAAAAAAAATTAAAAATGGTCCAACCGTTTACAATGGTTTAACTAGGTAAATGGGTGTATTGCCTAAGACAGTCCAATTGGTGATAATCGTCTGACTAGATAAAATGGTCTAAGTACTTAAAACGGTCCATCTAAATAGATTGATCCAAGGGGTTGAAATGGTGAAACTAGAAAAATAGTGGAACTAGTGAAAATAGTCTAGGGCGAGAAAGTGGTTCAACCGGTAGAAATTGTCGAAATAGAGAAAATGGTCCAGCTGGTTAAAATGACCTAACTAAATAAGTACTCAAACCGCTTTAAATGGTCTTACTAATAAAAATGGTCATACCAGTGAAATGGTCCAACTGGCACAAATGGTCCAATTATGGAAAATGGAAACGGAAAACCCGTTAAAGTGGTCGAACAGAATAAATCAGTTCAAACAATAGAAATGGTCTTACTAGATAGAATGGTCCAGCCACTTAAATGCTCTAACTAGGGTAATTGGTTGAACTATTTACACTGGCCTGACTAGGAAAAAAGATTCAACTTGTTAGAATGGTCCAGTTGGTTAAAGTAGGGTAATAAGATAAAATGGGGTATTTTTATAAAATGGTGAAACAAGATAGAATGGTGGAACATATGAAAAGGGTCATATTAGAGAAAATTGTCTAATTAGAGAAAATAGTTCAACTGGTAAAAATGGCCTAATTAGAGAAAATGGTCCATCCGGATAGAATGACAACTTAATAAAATACTCAAAACACTTAAAATGGTCTTACTAAATAAAATGGTTATACCAGTGAAAATTGTCTAACTACATAGAAAGGTCCAACCAATTCAAATGGTCTAATTTACAAAACAAATGGTTCAACTTGTTATAAATATCCAGCTGATTAAAATGGTCCAACTGGATAAAATGGTCTAACTAGAGAAAATAGTCTAACTTGTTAAAGTGATACCACTGGTGAAAATAGTTAGAGCAATTAAAATGGTCCAACTTGTTAAAACGACCTAACCAGAAGATATGGTCTAACTGGTTAAAATGTTTAATTTGGTTTAAATGGTCTAACAAGAGAAAATGATCTAACAAGATAAAATGGTCCAACTCGTAGTAAATGGTGTAACCAGAGAAAATGGTCCAACTCGTTAAAATGATGCAACCAGTTAACATGGTGAAACAAATTAAATTGATCCTAACTGGTTAAAACTGACTTACTTGGGTTATTTTGGTTAGTCTTAGACCCCTTGAAATTTTTCAAAACGGAGCAAAAGATGGCCAAATTAACCCAAATTAGCCTCCAGCGCCACCTTAAAATGGTCCAACTGCTTAACAAGGTCTAAATAAAATGGTTATAAACTGACCTTTCTGACTGGAAGAGCATTAGCATTCCGATTTGAAGGTCTGAGGTTTTAAACCAGGAGGGAGACTCCAAAATTTTCTTTAACCCACTCTCATGATCACTGAATAAATTTTTTGTTTATTTAATTGTTGCATCCTGGCTACAAGTCTGGACAACTTGCGTCATTTTGAAATCAACCCTCAATAAGATTGGGTCTTATACAAGCAATTCTCAAGCATTATGCCAACAAACCACAACAGGAAGCTTTGGTATTGTGAACATACAGGCCAACAGTACCTCATGGTCTCCCATACATTTTTTCTTGGTCAATATTGTGCAAGGAGGGCACGTTTCTTCACTGTGGCATGTATGATTCACTAATGATCAAAATAAAAGTATATTACAGAAAACACTCTTGATTTTCTTATATTTCATTTATGACTACAATACTTGGGCAACTTAGGTACTTGCCTTTTGCTTACAGTTTCCAATTAACATCACCACTCTCCTTCTTGTTTAATTCAACTGTTGTCGTGCTTGCCTCCTTCTCTGTTATTTGCATGTATTCAAAATAATTTGTTTTGAAAGGTCTACCATACCATAGAGTATATACAACAGTAGCACTCTGCACTATTGCTTGTGTTTAAGCCCTTTTGTGATTCTAAAATAAACTGTGGGAAGGGAAAGTGTGTATAAAATTCTTTGCCAATGAGATAAAGAACGCTTTCGGGTGAAATAACCTTCAACCTGCAAACTATATATGTGAATAGCTATCATACCTGGATGGTGACAAGTATGAATCCTTGAGCAAGGCTTGTCACACTCAGGAGGTGTAGTTCCACATGGGATTGGTGGGTACAAAACTGTAGCTCCACAATAACATTTTAATTCGTCAAAGCCTGAAAAAAGGGACTTAGAGTTTCAGAAACTTAAAAGTCAGCTAGCAAATTTTTAGTTATGTATCTTATTGAAAGGGTAATTTAACATTATCAATAGAGTTGATTAAGTAAATTGGCCACCAGAAAGTGTTGAAAAGGTTTGTTATCATGAAAATGTAAGAAAGTGTTCATGGTATTGTAAACTTGTTTATCTTCGCTCACAATGATAGAGTCGTTTGTTATTGGTCAATTTTCAGCATTTAGACACACACTTCCTGCAACAAGGACCCAATTCCCACAGCTTCTGTACACATCCAAAGACTTTCAAGAGAGAAATGTCATTGTTTGTCTCATAAATGAGGCCACTACGGAAGTGTGACTTGTGTTAAGCATGTGTGACCCATACATCATGAAGGAAATGATGCAGTCTTCCTAATGTAGTCTTAAATGCTCACACCTATCAGACCAAGATGGTTTACCAAAGATAAATCAAGGCAGTATACTGAGACCAAATGTGTCGTGTGTGAACACTTTAGCACATGATTTGTCTGCTCATTCGGCTAACCTCTTATTTCTGCTAACAGGTAACTCAGACTTTTCAGTGCTCAACCCAGCCCACTTTGTGCCTATCATCAGTGGTGAAACGACTCAAGAAAGCAAGATCATGGAGTCCTTTGCAGTGCTTTCAATAAGATTTGAAGTCAGTGGCTACCTCAGTAAAGCACTTGCAAGAGAATAATATGAAAAAATTCCCCTCTCAATAACCCATTAGCTCCATTCAGTAAAAACTGGCTTCAAATGGCATTTTTTGTGTTAAACTTTGGTAAATGGTCATTAAACATTGGATCAAAACCTTCTTTTTGTTGACATGCAAACTTTCTGCCAGAGTTGCACACTTAATTCCTCTCTAAGAGGACATATGGCTACTGGTTACCAAAATCTGAGTCAGTATAAATATCTTGGAAATTCAAAATCTTTTTCTGCTGGAAATGTGGTATACGATGAGACAATATCACTCATTTTTATCAAAACTTATGTAATAAGGTAGAAGTTGACTAAAAGAACTCTAAAAGATCTTGGGTTGTTTGCTTGAAAGGTTCCAAAAAGTCACATATCCAGAATGGTGGTAGCCTTCCAACATTGCATGATACAAAACACTTTCAACAGGCAGTTGATCAAAACAACCCAAGACGATATCCTGTGTGCATCAAATTTCTGTCCAAACTTGTTCTCCATTTTCTACCCAATGTTCCAGACCCTCCTTTGCCTAGCCATGCCAGCTTCTTTTCTATTTTTCTACTTGTACATCACTCTGAGTTGCAGTTGCTCAAAGTATTTGCATAGTTACGCTATGATCTTTGATAACAGAGTCTTCTGCTTGTAATTTGAAACAAACCTCCAGTCTCCCACCTGCCTGGAAACACAGAACACGTTTCTTGTGATTGCAAGTTTTGTCTTTGTTTTTTTTCCTTTTACTGGGTGAAATAAAAGATATATGACAGTGAATTCTGTCAAGCTGCTAACTGCTTCACAAAAATCATGAAAAGTCATTTGTTCACTCATGTTCTGGCTAACCAGTAACCATAAGATCATGGTTTTCTTCACTAGATGATAAGGGATCAATAGCTGTTTTTCATTAAGCAATTTTTATGCAAATGTAAGATCTTTGCAAACAAGTTGATTTGCGTGTGCTATCAACAAGCGCGCTATTTTAACAACTTTGGTTTCAAGTTCATTTACTAACATGGAAAGAGGAAGAATTGCCGTTGTTTTATTGTTCAAAAATATTTGATGATTTTAGTTCAGCACAAAGTCGTTTGAAAATTATCTTACGTAACTGATGATGTGTACATCTGGATTTATGTACAACACGCCAAATAAACAGAAAAAGAAAGGTGCCAGTACAAGAATAGATCTAAAAGTCAAAGACCACAGAAATTGAAAAACAAATCAGATGAATGCTCTAATACTAAATTGACTATTATTTTCTACATTATTTTGTTATTTTTCTGTTCTGTAAATTTGACTTGGATGTGGCAAAGTACACCCAAGGATTCCCAATAGAATACCCTCCAGAGCTCTGGTGGGTGGTGGGTCATTGAAAACACTGCCTTTGACATAGAATGATTGTTTACAAATATTACAATCAACACAGTTGTACAAGCAGCTCTGCAGGAACTTGAAAATGATTATATTTTACCCAACTGCATAACAACACTTAGATCATGGATCTCCTCAAGTTTGTATTGATATGTATGTACTTCCAGTACAATGGATCAATTTATAAACAGACAGAAGGCACAGTCATAGGGGTCTGGTTTCCACTGTTGTTGCTATCCTCTACATGAAGAGGTTTGAAGAACAAGCAGTAACATCATCCCCCCAGGATTTGGAAGCACTACATAGACAACACCTTTATCATCTTGGCATGTGAGAGCATAGAAAGCTTCCTACAGATTTTAAACTGACAGCCTTCAATTTTTTTCACTATGGAAAAAGAAAACAGCAACAGAGCCACCTTCCTTCACAATGCAGTTAAAAGAGAACCTGATGGATGGCTACCCACTGGCATAAACAGGAAGATAACATACTTACCACTACTAAGCCCATAACTCATACCATCCACAATCAGTAAAGCACAGTATTATCAAGTATCTACGAGCGTGCTAAATGTCTCCAATCAAAACCCTCCATTATCTTTATGGAGAAGAAACATCTGTCATCATATGTTGTTTCCAACGGTTATCCTTCCTCTTTCATGCAGAGGGTAACATAGCCAAGACACCTACCACAGCATTGAACCCTCCACTGAGTTGAGATCCACCCCAGTCCTGCCCTATGTCAAAGGTCTTTCCGAACAAATTTGGAACTGTCTACAGCAACTACATTTTCCAACTGAAAGAACTCTAAAAGATATTGAGTTGTTTGCTTGAAAGCTTCCAACAAGTCACAAATCCAGAATGATGGCAACATCACATAGTAAGAAACACTTTCAACAGGCAGTTTTTTTAGTCAAAGACCATGCTACTATCACACCAAATAGGTGACCAAAGGATACTTGGTTTAAAGGATGCTCTGTGAGTGCAGCAAGGTCTACATTGACAAGATTGGAAAAGAGAGAATCAAAGAGCAAGACAAGGATAAACTACTTGCAAAAAAATAGACCTCCACTGTTTCAGCATGTCGGAACACCACTTGCTCTGGAACAAAGTGAAGTTTACTCAATGTGATTCCAATCTCTACACACAAAGGGTGAAAGAGGTAATACACATAAGACAATCCAAAACCTTGCTTATTTACACTTCCCTGTCTAATGTTCAATGATTGCACACACCAAGAATGGTAGAGTTCTTTAAATATCTGCCTGAAGAGCTGTTAAAATCACAAAATTCTACATTCAAGCTGAATTACTGAATTGCAGGTTATCCTGTTCTACCTCTGAAGGTGAATTCTGGTAAGGTTGTTGAAACATCACTGACTATTGGGTAAGTCATTGATTGGACAATCGCTCTGTACTATCAACAGTTTAGATCTTAAGTAGCATTTCCTATTGGCCATAGTTGTCCGAAGGGTGGAGCATGCTATCCTCTGGATAAATCTCTAGCTGGTAGATAGTGATTTTTCCATTGGATAACATTATCCCCCATTGGTCTATTGAGTTGTCTTTTTTAATATGCAGATGTGCCAGTTTTACAAATATGGCAAATTTTTTCTAACTGATGTCCTCTGTTGACAAAAATGATTGTTGTTTTTTTTTGGACAGTAACAAGGCTGGGGTAACACAAACTCATGAGGTAAGAAGACTGCTACCTGACATCAAGCAAGGTGGACAATAACCAGCAGGGTGACAAGGTTCTGGGCATTGATGAAGACCACATTGCAGCTTTTTACCACAAATAAACTCACACTTGTGTTCCACATCCTTAAGGAATAAGAACACAGCCAAGTTAATGCAAATGGTGTTTAAGAAAACACATACCTACATGAGACAGTGCATGGCATTCACTTGTACTCATTTGTAAAATACTGAAATACATTTAATGATTCACTCCAAATAATCATGTCTGTCTGTCATAACACAAAACAAAAATTATGATAAAAATAAACACTTTACTGAATGATATGATCCTCCTTACCATAGTCTGCAGAGCTGAGGGACATTTGATCAAAAGGGCTACACAAATAAGTCGTAGAGTCACAAAAGGTATAGGAATTGAAAACTGCAAACTTGAACCTTTTTTTTCCCTTTCTTGCCTTCAAGTCCATAAGTGCCCAAAAACACTACCAGCTAAGCACAAAATACTTTTTCTAGGGGAACAGTTTAAGTTGGGTATTATGTGTTATACATAACAGAGACTGTTGAGCTAGCAATTTAATTAGAGACATAAATTGCGAAAAACTTGTCAGGTTGCTTAGTAAAATCTCACAGAAAAATTGACTATTTGTTGCTGAAATGAGTACAATAGTGAATCACTATCCTTTAGAATAATCTCAAGCACTTACCCCACAGCATTTCTTGTTACACCTGTGTCGTCCACATTGTCTTTTCTTGTTACAGCGTTGGTCACAGGTATATTCTTTTTTTTTTTGACATGAGGGGAGAAAGTAAGTCTTGTAAGACCTAGTTTTGTTAAAAATTCATTTAGATTTAGGTGATATCTGGTAGTAATAAACTTAAGACATTATTCAGGTCCAAGTTGCAAACTTCAGACACCTTGTTCAATCAGTTTTGAAAAGTACTTAAAAAAAAATTGACAACTAAGCAATACACAAAACAGAGCCTTTGAGCATGTCTACAGTGTGCAGTTTTCATTATAAAATTACCTTCAAAGTTTATCTCTGAGCAAGGGATCTCCTGTGGAAGGAAAAAGAACACATCCAGAATGTTACACTGGAAATACACTTGCACCTCACCACAACACTCACCCTGGGACAAAAAGAATTGTCTGTTGCAGTGAGGTGGTTATTTCAGGGGGACACGGATGTTAATACTCCTGTTTCTTTTTTAGTAAGAACAGTTTTGGCCAGAAAAATTGCCTTCTGCAACATACAAACAAATGTGGATTGATTATTTTCTCGATTAAAAATTTTTCAAATCATTCACTTTTTTGGTTTTTCTTGCAGTCACTATCAGTATGACCTGAAAGAAAGTAATTATATCCAACATGGTTCTACAAAGTTGTAAATTAAGAACAAATTTAATGATGAAATATTTGGAAAAATATATTTAGTCAAGAAGACACAGTGAGTACATCAGTTTCTACAACATTCTCTTTCAGTATAGAGGACAAATTTCTTGCAAATGAAATGAACGTCACAAGAGTTATATCTGCATCAGCAAGCTGTCATGCATTTTGAAACTCCATTCACCAATTGCTGATTATCCTGATTACAAGAAAATGATCTGTACGAGATCCCAGTCATTATGTAAACATTTAAGGATACTTTGAACAGAACTTTAGTAAGCCTTTAAGCCTCTTGTGAGGACAGAACTTGGTAGATATGAAAAGGGGAGAAATTAGGTCATTTTAAATTCTGAGATAATTACAACATACTGCAGGAATTCCAAATCAAATATTTGAGACATTATTATTTTAATTCAAGGTGGTATCATTGTGGCCACAGTAGAGACATATCTCACAAAATCATACCATGCTATTGTTAGAGGAAGGACCAGTTGCAATAATTCAGTTTGTTTAGGTAAGACCTACTTTGCTGATTGTTACTTACCTTGGAATTTGTACCACATCTACACTTGACTTTTGTCCTTCCATCACAAGGACCACACTCACCTAGATGACATTGCATTTTACAGCAGTGCTCTTTGGTGGTTTTGCCTCCTCTGCCTTCCGCAGATGACAGATCTGTGAAACAGGAGAAAACCTTTTATAGCACTGGGTATTTGAAAACAATTTTTAAACAAGTTGATCTTAATATGTTACCAGAACATTGTAAACTATGTTCTTGTTGTATCACTGTCTTCTCAAGTACCTTGGGATTAAGGACAAGCAGTCAACATTGTTATGTAATAAGTTGTATATTACATACAATTTCATGGTGTAATTTCCCTTTAATGATGTAATTGTTAAAAGCTAACTATTGCAGTGACAGTTTACCATGTACCAACACATGTGAAAGTTGTAGGACTGTGAAGAGCACAAGTTAACTTTTAAGAATTCTGTATAGAGCCATTCACCTTAAGAAATAAACTACATTTTGAGCTTAGCCACTTAATAAATAAGGAATTCTATTGAAGATTTTTTCATGAAACACTACTCAAAACTAGTTAAAATACACAATATGCAAATCCTCATGGATCTTGTCAAGAATCAAGGTCTTGCCAAAATACCTTTGGATGGACTGCAAGGAAGAACCTTCCCACACATCAATTTGCAGGTTGGCACTGGATCTAAGCAGGATTTTCTGACATCATGACCACCAAGCAAATCAAAAACAGGAGTTTTTCCACATGGACAACTTGTTAAAATTGATGGCTTCAGCAGACATTCTTTACAAACTCCAATATGACAAACATTTTGACAGTTATGGTTACCACAATCAAGGGTCCTTAAATAATACAAGACAATCATGAGACTAACAATTTACATCACCAATAAGTGAATGAGTTGCCAGTAATCAGATCCTTGCGTTTGCACAAAGTTTCTGGGATTGCCACAGAGCAAAAATTGCAAGTTGCTAGATATATGGCAAGATGTTATTTGGACATCCAAAAAAACATTTTGGAGAACTTTTTCTTGCCACAGTTTTATCACAAATAGGTAAGATTATGTTGATAAGAGGGAAGTGTTTATTTTTGTCACAGTTACCACGAAATATATTAAAAATTATACATATAAACTTCTCTCCTGAATAAGGTCGGTCCATTGTGAAATCACCAACACATAATGATCTTGAATATTACAAAATCAGCCACAAATCACTACAAAATAACTCATTGGAGTCTTTTCAGTTGTACTTGAGTATGCAAAGCCTGTCTTCATACTTGTTAACATATCAAATAAACTAATAACAATGTCTGAAAATATACCTCCTCAAAAGAGAGAAGTCATTGTCAGTGGAGATGTAAATTGTTTTCACCCAGCTGTTGCTCTCTGGCAGGATAATATAAGTGATGAAAAACACAAGGAAATCCCTTGGTCAAGTGACAGTTTGTTTGAGAAAAATCCAGAAGTTTTTGAGCTGCAACTTTTTCTCCTCTTACTCCTTGGAGTTAGGAAAGGAAAAGCAAGATCATAAGAACTCCAGCAGAAATTATGGACATATATTCAGTTGTGCATCACCCCTAAGTAACCCATTTGAAGCTCCTCATTGTTGCACAAGAAAAGGTGGATCGTGTGTACTATAGGTGGCCTTGGTCGACATATCGGCTGACAGTCAACTGATATATCGGTCGACTTTGGGTCAACTATCAACTGATAGTCGGTTGATAGTCCGTCGATAGTCGGTCGATAGTTGATCGGTAGTCGACCAATATATCAACCGACTGACAGCCGATGCATCGGCTGATATGTAGCAATAAACTGCCGGTGAAGTATCAGTCAAGTATCGGTCAAGTATCGGTCAAGTATCAGTCAAGTATCGGCCAAGTATCGGTCAAGTATCGGTCAAGTATCGGTCAAGTATCGGTCAAGTATCGGTCAAGTATCGGTCAAGTATCGGTCAAGTATCGGTCAAGTATCAGTCAAATATTGGTCGACTATCGACCAATAGTCGGTCGACTGTCCACCGATAGTCAGTCAATAAGTACCTTGACAGTCGACCGATATATCGGCCGACATGTCAACCAAGGCCACCTATCAAATTTGGTTTGTTCTTATTGATCACAATGAAGAAGCTGTGAAGAAGCAATGAAGGTGTTTAATTACTTTTATGTATCACCATAGTGCTCTTTTGTATAACCAAACCAAGAAAAATTCTGAACGTAGACTTAACACATGTTAAAAAAACTTAAAGACCTTGTTGAGTTATTTCTTGGTCATTTATAGCTCATTTATTAAATTTTGAGACTATTACCCAATCAGTTTCACAATAATCCTTGTTGATGGAGAAGAGTCAATCAGTAGATTTTATTTCATATTTCAAGGTTGTTTAAACAAAAACTTATGCTTCTAAAAAAGCAACGATCTCCCTCAAAAACTGATAGTTGAGATGTTGGGAAAACCTTTCACCATACAGTGAGTGAGTTGCAATGTTTGCCCTGAAGCAATCCCAGAAATATTTGTGCCAATAAAATGATCTGCTTCCTGGCAACTCATTCATTAGCTGCACCATTGATTTTTGTAATAAAATGGGGTTAAAAATCTGGGATACAGCATGCTCATAAAACAGCAACAAAACAGCATGGTTATTGTGGCTTATTACAAAAGCCTAAATCTTACAGGTTCTGAAGACAATAAATGCAAGTTACTGTAATGCATTGTCCAAAGAAGAGTCACACAATTCACTTACCTGCAACCACCTACAAGTATGAGTGATGCTTGTATAAGCATAGTATGAACAAAACTATTTAAGAAAATTACGCTGAGAATAATTCATTTTGTTATTGATACGAAAAATATTTATACATCTTTAACTTTTCAAAATTAACTTATGGAAAACAACAGCTTTCTTTCTTATTCCCTCTATAGCAGTTGGTGACAACTTGATTAAAAAGGATGTGATTATTCATTGTGGGAATAAGCTTGTATATGAAGCAAAATCGTTTGTCTTACAAGTTTATCACTTCTGATATGGATCATGTTGTTTCAACTGTTTACTGTAAGTTTTCTTCAGGTGAAATGCAGCATTATGTAGTTGAAATCCAGACAATCATCAATACTATAAGTAGGAGAAGTATTTTCTCTTTTTTTTAATTTTGTTGAAGAATGATCATGACAATTTATAAAAGTTGTATTTGTGTATGCTGATATTGAGCATTCCTTGAACTAAATTTTAGCTTGGAATGAGGAAATACAACATTTTTTTAATTTTCCATGCTTTATAAACAGCAGCACAAGGCTTCATACTCCTGCTCTGTAGGCATGGCTGTGTTCAACACTCTCTTCCCTGCTGATAGTATGCAAGATTACTTAACCCTTGAATCTCTTTCTTAAGGTTTCATTTTCCCTTCTTTTCATAAGAACTATCAAGTTGTAAATGAAATGAATGATTTAATTTTCACCTTAAGCACTTGTCTTGGCAAGAGAAACATCCTGATTTTGCTTCCAGATCCTCATTGTCAGGTACACCTATTGTATAATAACAAACAAATCAAAATGCATCCCACAAAGCTGAAAAGGGTAAGGCAAGGTGAACACCTATCTAATATAGACAGCTAACAGTTTTTAACAGTCTATGGCCACCCAAGAGGTGCCTCAGAATGCAAATGCAGGAAAATAACAGCCACAAGCATTTGGAAAACAAAATGAATATCACACAACCCTATGACCCTCCACTTCTTCTTAATACTCCACTTTTTACTCCTTAACCCTTTGAGCCTACAATTTTAAGATTTGCTCTACACTAAAAGTTAGGGGAGGGACATATCACAGGTTGCTTTTAAAATTCTCAAACTTTAGCTTGCATGAGCTAACTAATGTAATTTTAAGTCTTCTTTTACTACACAGTGGTCCCATGTAATTTTTTTTCTTGGTTTACCTTATTTTGTAAATTAAAGACCTTTTTTTTCAGACAGCAAGAACATTTTAGAAACTGCACTTAAATGTCACTTGTTTTTAGTTAAACTTTACAAAATTTAGTGACATAGTTCGCACTGTAACAGTGTGATCATACAGGTGGGGTGGTCATAAAAAAGATCTTAATACACGTGTGTATACACCTAAGAAGTTGATAAAAATATCAGTACAAGAAAATACCAACAATTCTTGAAAAAACTTTGAAAAAAAATAACCTTACAGGAAAAGCATGAAATTGAAATTTTAAGGAGAAACCAAACCTTTTGAAAATTGTTCTCCAATGCATTTGAAATTCAACTAGAGATTCCACCATTTTATAATCATGCTGAACCACCTGGCACAACCTGGCACAAGTTTTAAGTTTTATCCATGGTTTTAATCATGTAGATTTATTTGGCTGAGACTGGAGCTTACATACCCTTTATAGTAATACAAAAGTAATAACAAAGAAGTCTTCACTACAATCCTTACCTGCTCCACAAAACACCTCCCGGTGTTGTTTTCCACAATAACAAACTTTTATGGGAGAACAAAAAAAAACTGGTAATGTCAGAAGCATTGAAAGAGCAGGAATAGATAATAATAGTAATATCACTGTTGATAACAACAAAAACAATGATAGCAATATAGATAATAATAATCAAATTATAACCATAACTTATGCGCCAATCAATTTGAAGCTACAACTTCCCTCTCCCAGGTCATTTGACCCATAATCTTATAATGGAGTGTGGCATTTGAACTGGAAGCACTAAGTCTTTCCAGTGAAGTACACATATTTTAATGAAGATGCAAGCATCATAGAATGATGCTTGCAAGAGAAAAATCCAACAGTAGCACCAGAAGCTCTGCTAAATTTACAACATTTGTTGATCACAGAAAGAATCATTCAATAATGGGAGGGCATTAGAATGCAATTTTGCTAGACCATGGTCCTTTTTTTCAATCTATGGACCAGTGAAAGAGGTGCAATGGTTTTTAGCTCTTAAATGAGCATGGTGACCTATACTTTTTATGGCATAATTCAAGTGTACAAATTATCCCCATTGAATTGGAGAAATAATAAAAAAAAATTCATCAAAGGGAAAAAAGGATACAGCTATAAGTATTCACCAAGCCAATTTCTTGATGATGCAAATTAGGTTGTAGAAAATTGTGTGATTTTACCACAAATTATATATGAAATTTTCCATAACTCAAGACTTTCAATCTATCAATTTTCTTCAATGTAACTTTAAAAACCCTTGCTTCCTGCTTAGGCAAAATGTTAGATGTGAACCAATAAAGTAAAGCAAACAATTAGTGCCAGTACAGGCATAAATGGTGTAAGTTTGGCCCGTCATATCTCTTAAAAAAGCTTGGTGACCTACCTTTTAAAATGTCTTCTTCGACACAGACATTGGTAGGCATATACCCATAAGGAAAGTTTAAAAAAAAGTATTCTAAAACTTTTTTCTGAGGAATCCCCTTAAGCATAAATTTTGTAACTTTCCTCAATGTTACCTTTACTACTTACCTTGTTGTACAAGGATTTTACAGTCTCCACAGGGACCTACAATAAAGATTATTAAACATACCATACATTTGAGACAGGCTGCCATTATACTAATAATTCTTAAGTGTGATAAAATCACACAATTCTTAAGGCCACCAAAAAAACATCTTAAAGCCCTTGACTGCCTCATCTTAGTTCACAGTGTTTCTATTCTTTAACACCACTCAAAGCTTTGCATCCTATCCTTGCTGCTATCAGGGCTCCTATTTGGGCCAAAAATTTTGGGAACCTCTGTGGAGTGGGGTAGAATTCTTTCAACTAATGGCATTCCTTATTAATAAGACAAACATAATGTACTAAAACGGTTACCATTTTCAATACCTCTTTTTCATGTAACTTTCTAGAAATATATTTAAAAAGCACTGGACATAAAAAATATGCTGAGACTGAAACTTTCAAAATGAATGTAAAGAATACTTTCTGAAAGTTTTTCTTAAAGGCTGTGTTGAGCTGCTTTCAATGGACATTGACTCTGACTAAATCCCACCATGACCAGTTACCTTGGTGACAAATTCTTGAACACTTGTGGGTGAGACAGTTGAGAATTTTGTTGCAAACTTGGTCACACAATATGACAGTTGCCTGACCACATCTAATGCACTTCCTGTTGTATTGTTAAAGAATTACAGGAACATTCTAAAATTATTCTGGTACCACATCAACAATCCAGGATGTCAAATTTTCATGTGGCTGCATAACAAGGCACACCTGGTTTGCAAGTAGATGTCCAATGAATAAATTAGTCTGAGCTAACTGAACCAACAAAGTGACTAGACTTCTAGGTCACTTAGCATAGAAATGTATATTGCTGGAGAGGTGTCCTTCTTACAATTGTGTGGAAAAATTATTATACAGAGATTTTAATAAAATGAATTCATTCAAGAACATAAGGATACTTTGTTTTTCCACAGGAACAGGCTTTTGTTATCATCACAGGGCAAGAAGGGCAGGGCCCAGGATGACAGAGCCTGCAATCAAATCAACAGTTACAAAGTTAGTCTAAAAGCCTGTTTCTTGAGAGTCCTACTAACTTGATAGGACATCTTTTAAAATCTGAAGAATATCAGAATAATTTTTAAACAACTTTTGCTAAACTAAAATTATCAAATAGTCCTGGACTAGTAAAACAACAGCATTTCCTCTCAACTGCAAGTTAGTAAACTTGTTAATAAATAAACTTGAAACCAAAGTTGTTAATTAAAAAAATAGTGTGCTTGTTAATTGCACACATAACTCAAATTTGGAACTTTTTTGTAAAGATGTTACGCTTGCATAAAAAACACTTAAGCAAGGCTTAACAAATACAGCTTTTGAACCCTACGCTTTAAACCTTTTATCAAAAACAAAGCTGAATTTCCTGTTAAAGACAGAGAAGACCATGTTCTTATGGTTACTGGTAAGCCAGAACATGAAAGTATGTGACTTTTCATTGCAACAGTTAGAGTTCACTGCCTTATTGATTTAATTCAGTTATCTTATGCAAACATTTGGTGGCTGACTGCATAAATGCTTAAACACCTCTGCAGATGAGAACACTCATGGCCTTTTCCCAACAGATAAAACTCATGGAATTCACTGGGCACTGCATATCTTTTATTTCACCCAGTAAAAAAAAACCACATAACTTGCAATTACAAAAAATTCCTTCTGTGTTTTTCAGCAGCCAGAGACTGAGGTTTGTTTCAACTTACAAGCAGAAGACGACTCTGTTAACAAAGATCATGGTATTACTAAGCAAATACTTTAAGCAACTATGAGTCAGAGTGATGTATGAGTGGAAACAATAGAATCTGGTTTGGCTAGACAAAGAAAGGTTTGGATCATAGCATCAGAATTTGACAACATGTGCATACAGAAATTTGATACACACAGGAATATCATCTTGAATTGCTTTTGTAAACTTCCTGTTGTAAGTATTTCGTATTATGTGATGTTGGATCAGGTTACCAACATTCTGGAGCTGTTACTTTTTGGAAGCTTTCAAGAGAACAACTCGAAATCTTTTAGAATTCTTTCAGTCAACTACTACATTAAATTTTATTAACAATTTTTGATAAGAATGATTGATATTGTCTCTTCATATACCACATTTCCAGCAAAAATAGATTTTTGAGTTTCAAAAAACAAATTTACTCAAATTTTGGTAATCAGTGACCCTATGTCCTTTGTGGCAGGGTTGCATATCAGCAAATGGAAGATTTTGATTGGTGCTAAAACAATCAGTTAAAGTAATTGTTTCAAAGGAGTCTAATATGTAATGATCGTTTACCAAAGTTTAACATGGGAAACTGTTTGAAGCCAGTTTATACTGAATGGAACTAGCAGGTCAATGAGAGAGAGATTGTTTTCCATATTATTCTCCAGCAGGTGCTTCACTAAGGTAGCCACCAATTTCAAATCTTATTAAAAGCATTGCCTTAAAGGCCATGGTACATACCAGTCTTGTCATGTTTGACATATTAGTTTGTTGCATAACTTTAACTGTGTCATATGAGCTTGTTTTGTGTATTGGTTTTCTTTCAAGAGAGTAAAATTCTTTTTTGTCTTCATGCAGAGGTAGGATCCAATAGAACATGAATGCACCTTGAGAATTTTGAATCTCATAAGTTTTCTGATCAGTGTTTTTTTTTTTTTTTAGAACAAGGACTATCATTTCCATGTAACTCACTACTTAGGTTACTTTACTCAAATTTAAGCAAATGATGGGTGATTAAGAATCCAATCACAATTCCTTTGTTCACAAATCTTTGCAATTTTCAATCTGCCCATTCCTACAAGTCCTAAGCCCTCAGTTGGTGCTGTATGTTTTATTGTCTTGTAGATAGGAATAATTGGATGCTTAACAAAATCACATGCTTTAACTCTTTGACCCCAGAGAGTAACTAGCATCTAATTTCTCCTTACAATATCACTCTTGAATTACACAGTAGGATCACAAGTATAAAGGAAATGATTGCTGTATGCTTGATAGTTAAACAAATTCTCCCTAGCACCTCAGGAAATGTAAAGAGAACAGTATGGAGAATATGCATAATGACTTTCAGTCAATCAAAATCAACTCACCCTGTAAATCTAAGGTGCATTCAACTAGAAAATTTTAACCCCTCTGCTCCATATGAACACACAAGTAGGCTTTTGCTGGCAGCAATATTTCTGTTTACCAGTTTTAGATCTTTGATGGGCTATCACATATCCTTCCTGAATCTCCCAGTTGCAGAAAGCAAAGATAAAAACTGACAGAAATATCATGAAAAGTGCATTCCATAGCATCTGCATCTTTTTTCACCCAAAAGCCATACACATTTGCACAGTTTAAAGAATTTTTCTGTATAGGTATATTAAAAATTTGGCCATTGATTCTTGACAATTTCCTAAAATTTCTATTGTCGGATTGTGACACCATTAAAATATTTTTCATAATGTGATAATTATTTTTCTTGAAAATAAACATATTTTCTTGCGGGGATACAAAATATCTTACCAACCTCATGGTTCAGTTTGCATTGATTAAAGCATATTTAGGTTAATTTCTGCTTTGTTGGATGGTATGTAATGACTTCCCCTTCAATTCTTAGAACTATTTTGATAACCATAGAATAAACAACTTTAAGACACATACACCATCTGACTGTACATTTTTGAACATCTGCAGTAAAACATTAATTGAAAACAAAATACTCACTGGTTACAGCGATGTTGGCAAAGTGAATCTCTCTGTTTTCCACATAGTTCTCCACAACCTGTAAAACACACGTTAGTTGGAATACCAACTATCACAAGTCACTCTGGTTTCTCACTCCAAGAATGAAACAATAGACATGAAAACCAGTCTCTGGGTGATAAACACAATGAACTTCGATAGCTTATTCCCCAAAGCTTCCAGCTGAGTACTATTATATAATGATAAATTTTACAATATGGCATAAATGACTTTTCTGTTGGATTACTTCAGCATTACACTCATGCGTGTACACCACAAAGACAATAAGCAGTTAAATTCCAAATGTGTTACTCCATTCATCATGAAAAGTGACATTCAAGTTAACTTGTCATTTTGGCTCTATCATAATGTTTTTCAGTTTTTGCTTAGCACACATTACCACACCACCCTCCTAGTGACTCCTTCAGTTCAATTCATTCTGAAAATGAAAACAATTTGGGACACCTGATGTACAAAAAAATTGAATGAAATTAATTAACTAAACTAATACTTACTGTGAGGTGTCAACCCTTCATGACGTCTCCACTCAGGATCAGTAACTTTCCCTATTCATTGACAGACATGATCCAAACTAAATGTTATCTATGCCTCAGACAAATACATGATGAAAAAAATGGGCCATTAAAGGCCATTGTTATAATTCAGAAGTGTTAAAACTAAACAAAAAATGACAGAAACTCCATACCACAAAAGCATTTGTAGACAGCTGGAATACCCTGAGTAATATGTTGACAGCCTGGACATCGCCAACCACCAATTTCATCACCTCAAGTTAAGTTAAATAGAATATTAGAGTCAATTCTAAAGGACTTAATGTAATAGGTAATGAATGGTGTAGTACTGCAGTATTTTCAAGTGCAGTAACATGGTAATGTTCAAAGGATAATTAAGGCAAACTGTTTCAACATTTTGTACATGGTTCAAGAAAAGACCCGAGAAAGCTAATAAAAACATAAATTGGTTCCAAAACTATGCTCACAAAAAAAAGCAAAACCAAACAAAAACTGCATGCCAAAATTTAGTTGGTGTAACACTCACATACATGGTACAGCTCAACGATAGAGGGACTTCACAAACTGGTACCATAGGCACATCTGATGTGTATGCACCTGTTGACATACCAGTTGTGATTTCTTAAGATTTCTTTTCAAAAGCCCTATTCAAAAATTTGAGTATCTAATCTTGGGGTGCTTGTTATCTGTGCATATGGCTCATCAGCTGGTGTTTACAGTATTCCCTTAAGCTTGAACTTTGATAAATTTAATCAGTATTGGTTCAGTATGATCCAGAGTCAATCAATATTTTTCAACACGTTTATAGTGAAGGTTAAAGTTTAGATGGCCACAAGATCAGTGTAGGTGGTACAATGTACTTTCATAACTGATATTCCTATCATATTTAATTTTTGACATACCTTCTGGAGGTATAGCCACAGAGGATTTTGCCCATTTTCTCACACAGCCCATGTGAAACAAATGATAACAACTGCAACAGTTCCACACAGCAGCACTACATCGAATCCGTTCACAGCAAACCATACACTCATATGTCTCATTCCTTAGCTGTTCTATCAAGACACTGGCTTGAGATGACTGCAGTGGATTAAGATAACTGAGTGTTCGAAGAACTTCTTCCTTTTGTCTTCTGTAATCTCTTATATTGCCTCTCTTTCCTGTTTTTATTGCAGAAGTTTCTCCCTTTTGTCCCTTCTGCCTACCATCTGGTTTATCAAGTTTCTTGGATCTGTGTCCATGTTTACTGTAGTTAAAATTAGGTTGCCATATAGAGCTTAAAGAGTCCATTTTAGTAGAAATCTTGGATTTATGAATGACTCTTTCTTGCATTGTAAGGTCATTACAGAATTCATGACTATCGCAAGATAAAGGGGTAAATTCATTGTTGCCACCATGATGTCTTTGAAGTCCCCTTTTACCTTGTGAGTTCTTTCTTCTGCTTTCTTTTGCCCTTGGCTGGTCCACTGAAATTTTAGCAGTTTTCCCCCTAGCTTTTCGAGAGTCATTAGCAATGTCTTCTTTCTTTTGGCAGACTGCCTCTGTCTCCATCTTGGTAGGTTGGTAGCATGCCCCTTGTTGTGATTCCAGGACAGTGTCTTGCTCTCTTGACAATTCCCCTATCTCATCATGATCAATTTGCTTCACTGTATATCGGGCCTTGTCATCTTCATTTGATGTGAGTTTCCAGTCATTGCCATGTGGATGACAGTATCCTGACGAGCTACCAGCACTAGGATAGTACTGACCATGTGCAGATGCAAGCCTGTTATTATAAATTCTTCCTCTACTTGCAGTTTTTCCTTTACCGTGGCTGCTTGCTGCTGACTGTGGTGTTCTGCCTTGTATCACTCCATTACCTCCAGTGCCTACTGTTACATCATCTAAGTTCCTAGCTAAACCATCCTCTGCCATAATAAGTAAAACCCTGTTTTCCAATAAATATGCACAGAGAAATATGAAAAAACAAATTAGATTAGAGCACTTGAGACTAACTTTGAAAGCATGTGGTTGTTATTACATATACATGTCTGAATAATTGTTTTGTATCAAATCATATTTTGGTTTACCATATGTCTCCCACCATTAGCCAACTTATTGGTTGGGACCTGAAACTCAGAAGGGAAACTTGGTTTGAAATAATGGGACAAGATTGGTCAGTTTCATTAAAATGGTTAGTAACAGAAGTCAAACTTTAAAACCTGGCAAGGTTTCAAATTCAAAGGATTTCTTATTCATGATGAAAATGCTATTTCCAGACTTCAAATATATACGTGTATGCTTAAAGTTCACTTGAAATTGGGTTTTCATGGTGTAACCAATTGATTTTAATTGATTTTCGAAAGAAATCACAGAAACTTTCACATTTGATTGTTCATCGATTTTCAATATCAATAGAAGATGTAAGAGGGGGATTCTAGCACATTTTGAAAAACAACCTTGATTTCAAGTCAACCTCAAAATCAAGCTTGATCTAAAAAAAACAACCTTGATTTTAAGGCAACTTTATTATGAGAAGCTTCTTTGAGACATGTTAAATTGTGCAGGGGCAAGTTTTAAAAAAGACTGAAAGAAGTTTCAGGAAAAAATATGTCACAGTTACTGAAGTTAACAGATTATTCACAGTGCATGCTTATTTCTGACAATCTCAATAGATAAGGGATCAGACACAATCATTAATGTGAGATATTTCTATGCAGCTAGTGAGCTGGAAGGTGGTCAGAAGTGAACCACAGATTCAGTGTGGTCTCTGAATGAATGAATGAATGAATGAATGAATGAATGTGTATTTATATACCGCACATATCAAGGCGGTTTACAATTCTAATTGAGTGAGATCGAACGTCAGCTTGTAAAGGCGCCTCTGGCTGCCGCTATCAGTCCATATTTGATCTCACTCACCCACCCAGCCCATGCATGAAATGTACAATGAAACAACAGATAGACCACCACACCGGGAACTACGCCCCCTACTCTTTTCGACAAGTGTGTGGGTTCTTTAACGTCCCCTGCTGACCATGTAACACTGAAGATGTAGGAGACGGGGCCTACGGTTTATAGTCCTTATCCGAGAAGACTTGAATGTCTAACCATTTGCTGCTACAATTACAAAGGCAGCACATTCTCCTCAGTTATTTTAAGACCCTGAGTGTTGGTCCGGTCTGGGGCTCGAACCCTCGACCTCCCGCTCAGCAGACTGGCGCTCTACCAACTGAGCTAACCAGGCGGTGGTCTCTGAAGGTCTTCAATATCAAAAAATCACTTGTGAATAAAGGTGAGCCTTTTCTCTACTATCTGAAGGATGGACCTGTCTGAGAAGAGCTTTAGACTGTTCCTCCTGGAACTGAGTTACCTCCTGAAGTAATTCGTTGATTTGGAAAAAACTAAGAAAAATGCACCCTAACTGTTCCAAAGAATCACTTAAGATTATAATATTCACACCCTCTTCAGAACTCACAAGTGAGACATCATGAATATTATTCACTGGTGAAATTTTAAGTTGCCTTGAAATCAAGGTTGTTTTCAAAATGTGCAAAAACTGCTCTCTTGAAACCAGCCTTGATTTCAAGGTTGACTTGAAATCAAGGTTAAAATTCATGAGTTGACTTGAAATCAAGGTTGTGTTCAAAATGCGCCAGAATCCCCCTTTTATATCTACATGTGCTTTAATCGATTGATCGTTACCGATTGTCATCGATAGTTATCAATTTTCATCGATAGTTCAGGTCCTAGTTTGAGACAACACCGCTTGAGGGAGGTCACTGGGAATTCCAAGGAGAAAATGGTGTCTCTTGAAACAAACGGTTTTCGAAGGAAACATTAACCAAGAGTCGCATTCCCTAGCGGAGAGAAAGTGCAATAGTCCTCGAAAAGAATTTTAAGGAATTCTGTTTCACACTAAATGCCAGACCATTCCTGGCAATCTTCACCTTTACTAATTACTAATGAGCCGAACACTACAATTAACAGTTTCCTACCACATTGACCAATACAAAATAAAATTCGTTACCTCTCGTGTCCTTCCTATCACAGTTAATCATAGGGCAGATGTCTCCCTTGCGAATCACACGGTTTCAATTTAACTGATCGCCCCTGTCTTAATGAATGGCAACCAAAAGTTCGACGAAGTTTCGGCGTTTCCGCCACCACCTAGTCTCTCCAATAGTTTTATCAAAGTCTCGTCGACGGTTTCACCATCATACGAAATCTCTAGTCAACAGGAAGTCAGCAGAAGTCACAGTCTGTGATAGGTGCTTCATATTATTTGAATTATGTATAGGGTGGCTACATTTAACGTGCCATACATAAAGCTGAACCTGACACCACCATGATGGAAAGGACGCAGCAATTACGTCCATAAGCTATCTATAGTGAAGAAAAATTAACTCAGGCCTAAGTTTTTCTTCTAACCATGGAAGAACTTCAACAGCTCGAACAATTATCTCTTGTATCTAAGATTTGTACTGAGTTGGACAATCACTTGGGTATTAATGACAAAGATCTTGGTGAGGCTATTGTATCTTCTACTTTATAACTCTGTATACGTTATTAATTTCCTTTTACGATTTCAAGTAACGTTAAAAAAAATTAAAACTATAATAAACCAGAGGATGTGGGCGAGTTTACGTGGTTTAGATGCATAGATTTGGACATGCCGAGCTTAATTAAGACGAAGTATACGCCATTATGATTGGTTTATACCTATGTTCAATTACAGCTGAAGGACGTGGAAGATACCAGTTGTACGTTAACAACCTTTTTGCTTCTTTTTTTTATGGAACAAATACCTGACGTGTTGCCATGCATCTGTTCAATAATTGATCATAAAATAATTCAAAATGTGAACAACACTGACACATACAGCTGCACAAATTGTTACTTTTTTGTCCACGTCATGTTTTTATGTGATCTGTGATCTGTTACAGAATTGTTATAGAAATATGAAGATATGGAAAATGGTTGCCACAGTCAGGAAAGTCAAGGAAAAATATATATTCTTCTAAACTCAGGGAAAAGTTAGCTAAAATTTGTGTGTAGAGTGCAGCTCAAAGAGAAGGGGAACAAATTATGCGCATTAACTCTAGCTTCTCTCATGCTCTCGAAACTTTGTAAGTGCATCCATAACTTGAAATATACACAACTAAAAGCGTGAACTAATTATTTAATAACATAGCATGCAGACACAAGTTGTGTATGAAAAAATAGTTTATTACAATTGTGTTGGGTGTACCAGGTAATCCTTTTCTACCCAAAAACTATGATTAAACAACAAGGCAAAACAAACCAGAAGCATTTTGAGATCAAATATTTTTGCAAAGCATGAAAATTTTTTCTGTGCAGAAGTTACAAACAAACTAATTTCTTTCATGTATGTAAACCACATGACAGATCTAGCATACTTGAATACTTGTTTATGAGAATCTCCATTGATCATGTTGAGTTTCTCTCAGTGTTTGTTGAGAAGTTACAGTCAAACTCATTTCACCATGGCCTTCTCCCTGTGTCACATGCTAAAAAAAAACTTAAATTTTTGTTATAGAAGAATAAAGTGAATTAGTGAATTGTTTCAAATAGAGTTGAAGGAATTATTTTCTCAGTTCTTCCTGTGATGCTACAGAAGTAACATTAGTGTCTCCCCAATGGGTTTAAAAAAAATTTTCTTTGCAGAAAGAAAATTGTAAGGTATGACTGGTGCATAATGAAAAATACAAACAAAGGTCTTTGAAGAGAGAGCATTTTGTAGTTTGAATCAGCAAAAAGTAATATGGATGGTTATAAGTAGCAATTGGATGCCATTATCAGGATTCATTTATGAGATTGTTAATTCAGCTTGTCAGGGAAATTTAACACTTTTCAGGGTTAAATCAGTGAATTTTAAAATGGTATTTTTATGGCAACCGTGAGAAATCAATTTTTTTTATAGATTTAAATATGGTGTTTCATGGTAAAATTGTAATGTTCGGTATCCATGTAAACTGAAATGAACCAGATATTTCTACTGGCCAGGGGACCTTTAAAAAGGTGGAGAAATCTAACAGATTCTTGGTACTGAAAGTAACATTAATCCAAGACAATGTTGTTTAGTTTTGTCACAGTGCTAGCTTCACAGGCAAAACACATGAATGACATCCACATGGTTTCACCTGACAAAGAAGATTTTACTGTAAATAGACACAACCATATCAGTGTTTCACCATTTCTTCCAATGCACTAAAAATCTCTTGGACCTTAGGGTATTATATGTATCGTAGGAGGAATTTGCTACAAAATAAAGATCTAGGCTTGGTAATATGAATGTATGCCAAGCATTACGCAGCCTGTGGTGAAAAGATTTCCTCATATTACCACAATTCATTGTTGTCACTGTAGCTGATCCTGTGACAAGACTGACAATTCAGTGGTATACTTTCCAAACTTTTTGAGTAAATGTGCATCTAAAGATTCCATTTTTATCAGTTATAGATGCAATGTATTTTTTCAACCTGTTTTTTTTTTCTTTTTGATCACTTAGCTGAGTTTATAATCATGCTGGGAGAAAGGAACTCCACTATTGACAAGTTTCAGGCAGCTCTAGCAGAAAATGGTGCTGAATTTCCAGTAAGTGACAGTGCACTGTGACAGGAATGTTTGACATGAATTGAAACCTGTCAGGGATATCATAATTAGCAAGGGTTATGGCTTTAAAAGTGCCTTGATGTGCCAAAAAATTAGTCTAGCAAATGCAAACAAACACATTACTGCACATTACTTCAAATAGTATTTAATGGGTTGGTAAGTTGCTTTTATGATGTAAGCTTCTGCAATGTTTAGTCAGTAATGCGCAAAACAATTCAAAGCTTCAACATCCCTCTCTCCCTGGGTAACCCAGGGGCATTTGACTGTCATCCATGCCTTGGGAGTGGGGAGTCTGAACATTTTCTAGGTGGGGTTAGGCTGTGATTCAAACCAAAAAAGGCATCCTTCTTGCATAATACACATGTTTAAATGGAGGAGTTTAAGAGTCTGGGTCCAGTTGTTCAAAGACCAATTAGTGCTAACCCAGGGTTAAATTTTAATCCAGGTTTTTACATTTCTCTATTCAAAAGCTGTTTTGGAATAATTTTACCCATTGTTTTTAGAGCTTTCAATCATCAAATTGTAGTAAAAAAGAAATAAACTGAATTTGTTCTTCAAGCTTCCAGATCTGAAATCAAATTTCACACTAACCACAGATGATCTTAACCCAGCTTTAAACAACTCGGCCCTGCTTTTTTGAGCGAATGGAGTAGAAAAACAATTTCACATTTAAGAATGATGCAGCCCAACAGCAGCACCAAAAGCTAATACAAGACTTTGCAAAATTCTTAAGCATTTGTTGATCACACAAAGTATCATTCATCTTAGAATGGGACATTTGAACACAATTTTGGCCCAAGCTTCAAAAGTTCAAGTTCCCAGGGGTTGGCCAAGGATTTTGAAGCTTTAAATTGATTAAAGCAGAAATGAGTAGTCTCTCCACTTAATGACCAAGAAGTCCCTTGATTGATGGAACTGGCTCACAACCCTGAACTATACATGCACATGTAGCCATAACTTTCAATTAGTTTGTAATAGTAGAACTGAGGCCTTTTCAAGACTTTTTTTCTATGAAAAAACTTAAGATAGTGGAGCATATAAATAGAGTAATAAATAAATGAATAAATCAATGGAAATGGTGGGTGTCTCTGAATCAAAATCAAAGATGGAAGACTGCACCTTAGACTTAGGGAATCTTGTTTTTGCCATTCTTGCACAATCAACAGTCATTTTTGTACATTTAGTTTGTTTTATAAGTTAGAGTTCTTTTTAGAAGAACATAATTACTTTAATTTTGCATGTGGGCAGGTACCTCTTCCCTTGGGGCTAGAAATTCTTGTAAAACACCACAGTTTTTATGATAAAAAGTTTCATCAAGTTAGTTTGACTCATTTTAACTTGAATTCCATTCTAATACCCATAACATACTAACATATCTTTTAATGCATGAAGCCCTATGAATGAGACAGTGCTAATAATACTTTTGTGCTTGATGCCGTGGACAGAAGAAAAGTCACTGGTATGCTATTTCTTGATATATCCAAGGCGTTCGACTCTATAAACCACAAGATACTCCTGGGTTAAGGCTTGAACACATAGGACTATCAGTGAGAAGTCTGAGGTGGTTCAAATCATATCTCTCAAACAGACAGCAATGCATGTATATAAATGGTGAAGTAACAGAGACTCACCATGTCAACCTTGGCATGCCTCAAGGGCATATCTTAGGTCTACTTCTATTCAGCACGCACATTAACAGCTTATCAACTACTGTAATTAGGAGTGAATTGATATTGTAAGCAGACAATGCTGTTCTTATGGTTGCTGCATGAACACCCCAAGAACTTAATGATCCCCTTCAATATGATTTTAACCTAATCTCCAGCTGGTATATCAACAACAAATTAACACTTAATGTAAAGAAGACTTATTTGATGCTGGCAGAGAGCAAAACTATGTTGTCTCAATTTGATAACTTTCTATTTTTTTCTGAATTGATATAGGGTAAGTAAATGGTGTTTCATTTATTAAGTATCTAGGGGTAGTGCTGAATGAGAAATGGAAATGAAAGACACATATCAATAGCCTCTTACCAGAATTAGGGCGTCGCCTTTCAGTGTTCAATCAATTCTATCACATGTTAGATAAGAGAAGTCTCACTGCATATTTCAGTGGCCCTGTCCTACCACATCTCTATTATGCACATATTGTTTGGGGAGATCAGTCAGGTCTTACAACACAGATGAAACAGTTGCAACCTTTTCAAAATCGCTTTGCAAAAAAGATTGTAAAGGTAAAAGTGAGTCAGCTGAGGCCCTGACATTGTTGCAGTGGGCCCCACTGCATGCAAGGCATTTAGCTCATTAATATTGTCTTGTACAAGATGTATTGAAGGGTTAGATCCCTGAACATCTTCATGTGTTCAGTTCTACAATGAGCCAAGATCACAGTTATAATACCTGAAATGGTTTCATGCCCAAAGTCAGCTGGCTAAGAACTGAATGGGGCAGAAACAAAAAATTATAAAGCAATTAACTGTAATAATAATTGGACCTTACTGCCAAGTGAGCTCAAGAGACTGATGCCAAAAATGATTTTCAAACACAAACTGAAAGTTTTTCTATTGAACTATTTTAAATTCTAGTTAGTATTTTTAAT